ATTTAAATTTCTTATCAAAATCTCAACAATTTGAAAGGATTATATCTGCTATTAGTGATCCCATTTTACCCAGCTAGTCGTGCCTGGCTTGGCTATTCAAATAACTTTATCGATTGATTTTATTACCACCTTACTTCTTACTCATTGCATCATTCACATTCCAAGTTAACTTTATATTTAAAGTGCGCATTAAATTTAAAAATAAATTTATATTTTTTTCAGGCACTGCCGAACGATGGATTACCCAACGTGATTTGTGGTGACTGCAGACAAAAATTGGATTCATTTGAAAAATTTCGTACAATGGCGCACAACTCACAAATAGCTTTGAAAGAATTTTTAAATATATCAAAAAATCTCAAACTAGTAAGTATTGATAAAATGTATTTTAACGATCATCTAGCGCATTAAAATATGTTGTTCCCTAGAACTATTTTTTTTTAAATGTATACTATTAATGTATTTGCTTTATTTAGATGCCATATACTTCTAATGAAGATGTAATAATACAAAACAAAGTATAACGCTTTAAAATATATGTGACAACCAAATGCAGATTAATAATAACTATAAACCCAAGCTGTTTATAATTTATATTAAAAATAACTTAAGCTTAATCCTCAACTAAATGACTTTATTTTTTCTCAGGACGCAAATGATTTGGAAATTAAGCTTGATGCAATTTTAAAGGCTTCATCAGAGGCTATAGCGGCGAAGGCTCTGACGGAGCTTAGCACGTTCTCTAAAGTTAAGTACGAACACAGTAAAATAGATTCCACCATCCAGCCTGGTTTGGATCGGAAAATCGAGATTAGCAATCAAGATATGCCAGTACATAGCTTATATCCAAGTTTATACAAATCAATTCATATGAAAAGCGATCAAAAAAAGATAATGCCTGGATCCTCACACAGTCAGTTTGATTCAAAACTGCAGAAGGACTCGGAAATCGAGAAATATGAAAATCTACAGCAGCAGCTCGAAACTGCTGCCGTTTTAATGGATATAAGCAAAAAAATTGTAATTTCTCCTCCATGCTCGAATCCCCAATCTCCGTGTTTTTCTGCAGTTGTAGATACAAGTATTAAAAGTTCTGTGATAAAATCAAAACGTCCATTAAACCAAAATGAAATTCAGGACGGAGTTGAAATTGACCTATCCGTCAAAAAACAAAAGAACGATTACTCTAATCAACGGAACTCGGCCCCAATACACCCTTTTTGCCAAACTCCAATGCTTGATATTCAGTCACACTTAAGAAGTGAAGAGGATTTTCAAAACTACAGTATTACCATTAACCAAGTTGGTGGGTCTGACTACAAATCGAAGACACCGAAGGCGAGTACCGGCTCCTTACTAGACTCTGGCGACAGCTCTGACTCTCACAAACTGGAGATGGATATCACCTCCTCACTTAATGATAGAAAGACCCCGGACAGCCTTAGCTCTGATCACGCCACGGACGCGGCAACTACTCAACTCTGGCAGGCACTGGCACGATCAGCCGGTAAGAATCATATTGTCTGATTTATTAGCTCTTAAATTACATTCCCGTAAGCTTATTGATTTGTCATTCAAATTTCGTTACTAACATAATTAAAATTATTTTACGTGCTTTTTATAGCTAAGGAAAATCCGGCAACACAAATAATTCGTAGCATGATGAGTCAGTCTTTTGTGTTTCCGGTTCCGCCAACAGTATCATATACAAAAGTACCTGAAGAACCCATAGCACTATTAAAGGTAAATAATGGATTTAAAACTAAAAGATCTAAGAAAATCTAAACATAATTTTTTTCTTTATAGGATCTATCAGAGGCTCAATCCAGCAAATCAAAACCATGTAGAAGAAAACAAAGTTTTCCTACCAAAACTGATTGCATCGATGTAGTTAATGAGAATGTGACTGATACTTATACCACTTCAGAAGCAGCTCCCGAGGAAAAGAAAGATAAAAGGGTAAACAATTGGAGTTCTCTTTACTATTGCCCATATTAATTATATAATTTCTTTACAGAACATTAACCTTTTTAATGCCATCCCTGGTGCTCAAAAAGATATGTCATGTTCGAACTGTGGAACCCTCACCACAACAATTTGGAGGCGAAGTGTTCGAGGAGAAATGGTTTGCAACGCCTGTGGGTTGTATTTCAAGCTGCATGGGGTTAACAGGCCGCATTCTATGAGACGCGATACCATACACACCAGACGCAGGCGTCCTAAAGAACTGGAGCGATCTAAAAAAAGTGAGTGTTTTATGATATACCCTACGTTACGATCTGCCCAAAAATCAAAAGCGGTTATTAGTAAGTAAAATAACAACTGAAGGACGAAATATTTCAAGCTCTAGGGGAAATTAGTTTATGAATACATCCTTATAAGAGAGATGGAGCATGGTATTGGTGCATGATAATTGTTACAATTACAAACATTTTAGTTCTATTTTCTGATAGATATCCTCCTTTTTAATCAACTACAAATGCTCGCTTGATTATAGCTTAAACAAGGGAAAAAAAAAAGATTTTAATGCAAATAAGTTTAAAAACAATGGAGATAAACTCTTTACTGATTTCTAACCTGAGTTTTTAAAATTGTTCGTTTTAAATGAAGCGATAAAAGGAAATGGTAAATTATTTGATATAATATATACGTTCCCAACATACAGCTATTGACAGATAATTATCACAAAGTGTGCGGTTTAGTTCAACCCATTACAAAGGGAAAAACTAATCTAATGAAGAAATTTTGCTTCATTATATTCGATAAAGATTTAAACACAACATCAATTAAATGACAGCTCATATATGAAATCAGACAGTGACTTTTATTTAGATTTTCCTATATATTTAATAACTGGTAAAATTGTAAAAATGTCTATATCTTGAAATTTACGCGTATATGATAAAAAAACATAAATTTAACTATAAAAATCGTATGAAGGAATAAGAAAATTGACAATTAAAAATGTTTATCATGTCTTCATCATTAAAACCAAAAACGGGTATAGTCATGTTCGGTTTGATGTAAATCATCTTAAATTTCAATCACAGAATTAAGTTTTTAAAATAATATTATTTTCTAATATAACAAATAGTTTCTTTCCTTGTTTTAATTTTAAAATAAGAATTTATTAGTTATTTTAAATTATTCTATTTCATTTACAGAACACAAGCAAATGTCATCATGTTCATCAATGGAACCAACGAAAACAGAATTCTTGACGTCAAGGGAACCTCTTGATATTTCTGGTCTGGTTTTAAATGTAAGTCTATGCATTTTATTTTAAAATTGTGGACAAGTGGGTTAGGTTTCATTTTCAATACAACTTCTTACTATTTTGCTATATTTTTTTATGTTTTGCATAACTTCATTAACACCAAAAAATATTAAGAAATTCACAATATTTTGTATGGGTTTTTTAACAGTTTTCCAAAGTACATTTTAATATGCTTGGAGCATCCAAGATTGATTTCGAAATTTTTTAATAAAATTGGTGCAAAGTACCCAAAATGACGACTGAAATGTTCGTTCTTGTTATTACTGCAATTATCTTCTTTTTATTTTAGAAATACAAAAAGGAAATTGATGAATCCGAAACCGCAGCAGCACTTAAAGATATTTTATTAAGGCGGAAGAAGTCAAATTCTATGCCGGCGTTTAATGATACCTGTGAAAGTGCGGACCTATCCGCACCGCTTAACCTTGTTTCCAGTGAAAATAATGCAAAGTTAACATAAAACGCCAAATATATTCCCCTACTCACTTTTCGAAAAACAAACCTTTAACACACATTTTGTTTATTTATGAGGTCGCATAAGAAATAAAAAACAAAAGGTTTAGGATTAAAAATACGTATAGATTATTAATAAAAAATTTCATTCTTTAAAACTACATTTTATTCATTTGTATCTTTAAAAACTAATACCAAAATACTTATTAGTGTAAAAGTGGTATACAAATTGAACCAGTATGTCAGAACTTTTTAATAATATTACACTAAATATAGACCTTAAGAAAGGACATCAATACTTAATGCAATTAAATTAAAAATAAAATTTATTATATTTATATTTATTAAAACCATTTTACAGTATTTTTAATTTTTTAATAACACAAATTGCTTCTATTAAAATGAAAAGTTTAGTTTTAACAATGATTTTTCAGCTGTCTTTGCAATTGAACAACTTATAAAGCTAAAAAATAAATAATGTTTTAAATCTCTTGCCTATACGAAAATCATGTGATAATATAATAATCTCCACAAAACATTTTAATAGTAAAACTATGCAAAAAGCAATAATCACGCAATGCAAACTTTTCAAGGAAATATTTAAATTATATACAATTATAAGAAACTAAAAACTTAATGCTGTTTTCGAATCTACATAAATCGTCTAAATAAAATAAGGACTTCATAATAGGTTAAGATACAAAAAATATTACTCATTTATTTTTTCAAATAAAATACTCTATACAATTTTTAACAATCACAATAAACTGGTTAATGTAAAATGTAAATCAAATGCAGACTGTGTTTTAATTAAAGCTTGTGGTTAAGCGATGGAATATTTCGGACGAGTTAGTTGTTAGCCGAAAAATTAAATTTTCGAAGCAATAAATTTTGGTCATCTACTTGCCATTATGTATATTTTTAAAATTTTAGAAAGGTAAAAATGTTACTTCACGAGGAATATAGTATATTACTGCAATTGAGAATACAAAATTAAAAATATAAACTAAAGCTTACCAATTGCCCATGACACATTAAAATATACGTTATACACGTTATATTGTGTATACAAATTTAGAAATTAAACTAAAGTACGCATTTAAATATACGTTATATTGTGTATATAACTAAAAATGTAATATATTTTCCATCCGGCTTAAACTATTAAATTTATTAAAGCCCTGTGCAAGAAATATCGATAAGGGGCATCGGTATATTACACATTCCATCGATAGAGCTATCGTTAATTTTACATCACCAAGTTGTTTTGTTATCAGATCCATTTGTTATTGTCAAGCAGCATGTTGGAAAACGGTGAACATTTTTTTGAGGGCGTTGAGAAACTCCTCGAAATTTGGTTCGAGGAAAGCTCCAATAGCGAGAACGATTTGCGAAACATTAGCAGGTAAGCCCTTTAATACGTGACAAGCAATAATATTAAAAAAATATTATTCAAGCAAGGCTGCTGCACAGTCACAGACAAAAGTAAATTTATCCGCTGTATATTGTCTTTCGTGCCTTGTCAGGTAATACAGATAATAAATCTTGGTTTTTGTTGAAACAAAAATGCGTAAAATGTGTAGCTTTTTAGAAAAACAATATAATTTTTATCAGCCTATCTGATGCCAAGCACGTGTAGCCAGTCGTAAGAGCTCGGTGATTGTTAAAAACAATCTCGCTTGTTTGACAAGAAACCCTGTTTAATAGTATTGTATAGATTAAATACAAGTACAGGGCTTTCAATTTATACCCTGACCTTTCTTATTGATAATGTGCTCTAATCAAGCAGGTTCTTTCTCATTTGGGTGAACGCTCTTAAGTCTTTAAACAAATATAATTTTTTTTTATTTCAGATCTGATTGGGAGAATGTTCTTAGCAATGTCAACTGTGAAATAATCAGCACTTCCAAAAATGATGCCATTGATGCTTTTGTATTGAGGTAGTAATTGATTTAACTACTGCCGATACGGCTTTACCCTTTCTTCTCCTTTGTCATTATTTACTAATTATTATTTTAAAAAAACTTTACAAAGATTATTCTAACCCATGTTAAATTTTAAATCGGTTTAGCGAGAGTAGTATGTTTGTTTCCAAGCGAAGATGGATTCTTAAAACTTGTGGAACAACTACTCCTCTTAAATGCTTAAGTCTTTTGTTGAAATTGGCGGAGGATAACGGATTCGAAGTAGTCGCTGACTTGTTCTACTCGCGAAAGAATTTCACTAGACCGGAAGCACAGGTTAATATTTTTAAAAATTATTATACATTTTTAACTAAATTTATTTTGTATTTTAGATAACTCCACATCAGGGGTTTACAGAAGAAGTTACTTATTTGGACTCTATTTTTCCAAATGGAAGATCCTACTGTCTGGGTTCCATGAACTTAGAGTGTTGGTATCTCTATACTTTTAGTCGTTCTGATATCAAAATTTCTCCCCAACACATAACGGATGAGAAAGGAATCGACTCTGATCCAGATCAAACCATTGAAATCCTTATGCAAGATCTAGATCCCGAAACCATGTCGATCTTTTACAAAAATAAATTTGATAATGCTAATGGGGCTACTGTGGTATGATGACATCATTAATGTAAAAAGCAATAATTTTATAGTTTTTTATTTCAGAAATCTGGAATCGATACCATTTTGCCGAGCATGCACATTGATGATTTTCTTTTTGATCCATGTGGATATTCCATGAATGGAATTAATAACAAGGTAACATATTACATTCGCTTTTTAGCATAATTTGTAATAGCTTATATGTTTATAAATTTTTACAGGGAGAGTACATGACAATTCACATCACTCCCGAAAATCAGTTTTCATATGTGAGCTTTGAAACCAATGTTGCGTTGAGTAACTATAGGAAACTTATTAATCAAGTTATCAACACTTTCAAGCCGGGAAAATTTATTGTGACTATTTTTGCTAATAAGGTACTTTGGTGTGGAGTAATATTGTGTATTATTTAAGTATAAATACTCTTTCTATGCAACAGTGCTCTCTGGCTTACGAAACTATGAAGGAGTTGGAAGTAGAATACTCTAAAGGATCGCATTGGAAACGAACGGATATGCAATGCTGCAATTTTCCGTCTTACAACCTTCTTTTTGCACAATATTCTTTTAATGAAAAAAATGGTGATAATTTATGAAATTCAAATTCCAACAATAATTGTGATTGTTTTACGCATGTGTAACCAAACCTCTTGTTCGTTTGTTAACAATTAATTTAAATAAAGGTCGAATAATGAACATATTTTTCAACATTCACGCAGTGGATGTGGAAAAAAGTAGAATAAAATATACTGGACTATGTATTAAGTAATTTCATAAACTTAACTTACATTTTTTTCTAGAGAGTTGAATGTGACTGGAATGTGGTAGTTAAACATTATACTATTTATTTTGTAATAAAAGTTATATTGGAAAATGTTAGTTAGTAACTCAGAGTTACTTGACCTTCTATATGTTAACCTATTTCGATAACTAAGATTGATTTTGAATAATCTTGTACAATAACTTATTAAATTAACTGTTCAATGAATGTACTAAAAAATCCCAACTGGATAATATGTACATTTTAAATATGGGAAAAATAATCGGATCTGGACAAGTGTCATACACAAGTCCATCTCTAGCAGTATTTGACAAGTCGAGCCAAAAGAAAAGTAAAAATGAGTGCAATTTCTAATGAAAACATTATTTGGACCATTAAAAACGGAGAGTTTGACGCTGTCCAAGCCGCTTTTCAGAACGATGTGTGTTTGCCAATGTAAAAAATGCTTTTGATTTAATTAAATATACCTGTATACAGGCACAAAAGGTGAATGAGGAAATAAAGGGACGGTTCCCCGTACACTATGCGGCGGATTTTGGCCAGCTTAATGTACTCCAGTTCCTGATTGATATAGGAGCGGACGTCGATGTAAGTGGTTTATTTAGCCGAATTTTATGATTGTGAATCATTACACTTATGGCAGTTGAAAAGTATAAGGCAATAACTGGTTACATACATATATACACAGTTGTGTTTAGTCATAGTCCAAAGAAGTCGAAACCAGGTGTGCCCTTAATAAATGCCGGACTTTTTTTTATAATAATTACGTTTTTAATCTAATTTAAATTTGTAATACAGAGAAAAGACAAACATGGTATTACCCCCATTCTTGCTGCCATTTGGGAAGGACATACGAGCTGCGTGGAATTTCTTCTAAAAAAGGTTCGATTGTTGTTTTTTATTTTATCTCATGAAATAAATTTGGATATTTTTTGTCGTAGGGAGCTAATAAAAATGGTTCTACTCCAGATGGCCAAAGCTACCTTGAGGCAGCGGAAAAGGACGAAATTAAAAAATTACTTGCATAATTAGTAACTGTAAATTTAGGATACAAACCTTATGTTTCAGTATCAAATACAATTTTAAATACAGTCATGTATAGCTTTTAAAAACTGAATTATTTGTTTTAATATTTTGGACGAACTTAAAAAAATAAAACGATTCAAATTTTTTTAAAATAAACAAAATACCAAGGATTATAAAAAAACAAAATACCAAGGATTGTAAAATATCTGTATATTACATATGTTATTAACATGTAAAATATAGTATTATACATATGGAAACGACTTTTTTTATGTTTGTGCTATTGACAAACGAGTGAAAATAATTTTTGTAAATTTTATTATTTTATATAGTTAATAGTTTACAAATGAAGGTAATTCTTTAAAATATAAAAGTTTGATGTATGTAATTGTTACCCAATAATATTTGACACTCGAGAATTACAAAGGTGGCTGTTAAAAACAGTTTGTTTACAAAGGATTAGATTTTCAAAACCTGCTAAAAACAACATAATTAAAAAAATTTGAATTTCTAAAATAGAATATCCCTTTTGCAAGAATGCCAAGAAATCGATAAGTCTTCAACTATTTACTTACATCACTTTACTTCCATCACTAAACTGAAACACGAGCTATTTGTTTTATTTTATTATTCGACACTTTTTTTAAGTCCAGTGCATAATTTTTTTAAAAATTTGCACACAATGTTCCGACCCGAGAAACATGGGCTTGAGTCCGACTTTCAGTTAACGAAATTTACCACCCACACTGGATGAAGTTGCAAAATCCCCCAAAAAGTACTTGAGAAGTACCTAAGGGGAACCGAAATAGTAAATAAGAACAATGATGGATACCTTATCGGTAAGATATATATTTTTATCAGATTATCGTAATACCAAAACCTACTTTTAGGATCTGGAATGGACTGTGCTGTTATACCGCTGAACCGGCACAAAGATTACTTACTTGTTCAAACCGTTGACTTCTTTTATCCTATGGTGAATGATCCGGAATTATTGGGACGCATTGCACTTGCTAATGTCTTGAGCGATGTTTATGCGGTTGGGGTGACGGATTTTGATTCAGTGGAAATAATCGTCAGTACATCGACAAGCTTCACTGAAAAAGAACGAGACGTTGTCATTTCACTAATCTTAAAGGGTTTCCAAAACTCTTTGCAAGCAAATGGTTATCATAAAACTCCCATTGCTATTAGACAACTTAAGATCAATCCTTGGTGCATTATTGGCGGCATTGCGACGTCTGTCTGTTTACGCGAAGAATTAATTCTGTTAGTATCACACAAATGGGATATATCAATATATGTTTGACTAAATATTTATTTTAGACCATCCAAAGCGCAGCCAGGCGATGTCTTGGTCCTTACAAAGCCCTTGGGAGGACAGATGGCGATGGATGCTCACCTTTGGCAACTTAATCAAAATGAAAAGTACAAATCCCTGCTCTCTGAATTCTCGGACGATGATATCAGGGAAACTTTTGAAATCGCAGTAAAATCAATGACATATTTAAACAAAAATGGTAAATTTAATATTCAGTATTCTATGTCGGTGAAATTAAAAACTATTAATTCCAGCCGCGCTTTTGATGCACAAGTATCAAGCGCATTGTGCCACGGATATCACTGGTTTTGGTTTATTGGGGCACGCCCAGAACCTCGCCCAATTCCAAAAGCAAAAGGTTTTATTCAAAATTGATAAGTTGCCAATTATCAAAAATGTACTTAAATTTAGCTTGTTAATTGGTCAAAGTACAAAGTTGCGCTCTGGTAGATCAGTAGAAACCTCTGGAGGGCTATTAATTTGCCTTGCTCCCGATGCCGCAGACAAATTTTGTCGGGATTTCGAAGAAGTTACTAAGGGAGAGCAAAAATCATTTAAAATTGGACACGTAGTAGCCTCGATCGAGTCTGGTGCAGTTCTGTGTGATGAAGTAAGTTTAATTGAAGTCAACCTTTGATGAAATGGTGCAAATTGATTATTCAACCTATGACGAATATTTCAGAAAGGCTTTTTGGCTTGGAAATATTCCGAACTTTATTACACAAAGTGTTTAATAAATTTGATAATTAATTAACCTATTCCTCGTGTTTGATTAAAATTTGTTTTCGCGTAAGTAACAAATTAATAAAGCTTATAAATTACCGATAAGCAAATAATGTATCGATATTTTGCACATATTTCTCGATAACAATATATGTAACGTTTTTTCCAATTTCCTCTTTCCGACATTAATTTGTATATTCATTTTTTATTAATATTGTATATTTTGGTATATTGCACCCTGGGGCTACAATATACCAATAGTCAACATCTGTACAAACACATGTTATGGTTCCTTTCACGGCGCAGGCAGTTGTCCTTATTTGGTCCTTTATTTTGTTAGTAGCCTCCCCACACGAAAAACACCCTTAACGGGAACAACTAAAGGACGGCAAAGGACACGGGCATTGCCAAAATATTTGGATAGAAAAATAACAAATAAAATGTTAAGCAATCTTTATTTGGCTTTAAAATAACCTACCCAATTGAATCCGCCCAATTAAGTGACTTTTGCTAAAGTGAAAGTAGCCATAAAAGTGTAAAAGTTCATTCAATACAATCAACAAAATGTTCAGGAGTAAAAATGAAGGGAACATTGTGTACAAATGCACAGTGCGACTCCTTGATGATTCCGACGTCCTAGAATGTGAATTTCAGGTTTGTACTGCTCTTGAACTTTGCCTTTTCTACAATATTGGCCTAGATTTGTAAAGGACTAAGCTGCCGACACCTAAAGGAGTGCTCATCTGCAGTTGATGCAATATTTGTGGATGTACTGTTATTCTGCTACATTAAATGTACTGTTATTTGATAAACGCAAATAAACGGATCTTTCTCCCCAAAAACAGCGACTAAATATTAAGAAGGTCTTTAAAATGATAGTAATTATAACTGATCAACTTTCGTGCATAAATCTATAAAACAAGTAGCTTTCTTATTATTTCTTATAAGTTTCCGCAATAAACAGATGTGCGGCTAACGCCCTTTATGGATACCGGCAAAAGTGTCCTTTAAGATAGGAATCCCTTTAAGGCAATTCAATAACATAATTTGAGTGTTAGGCTTGTATGGTCCAGTATTTTCTTTTTAATCTAACGCTGGGATGACACTTTAGCTATCAAAAAAAAATTTGCGACGAATTCACATTATTCCGTTATCACTTGAAGTTATTATAAAGTTGGGAGAAAGTTGTATTCAAAAATAAATGCTAGAAATTGAAAATGTCATTCCAGCCCTAGAATAAAAAATATAATAAAATTATTTTATGTTTAATGGTGTTATGCATCCTTGTCGACAAAACTTCAATTTATGAAACGAAAATATTTTATATTCACTGGTTTTATTTTAATATTAGCCTTAGGTCGTTCTAAATATCATACAATTTTGAAGTAAACATTTCAAAAATTAGCCCCAAAATGTGTGTTTCAAAGATAAATTGTATCTTCTAATTAGATTACTGTTTAAATAAACCGATCCCTTCTCATTCAGCCGTTCCACAAAGGTATTTACCTATTGGAGTATTTGTGTGGTGAGTTGGAGATAAAAGAGAAGGATTACTTCGGCTTACGATATGTTGACTCCTCAAAGCAAAGGGTAAGTTTGGGTTTCTTATTAATATAAGTACACAAATTTATTAGTCACTTTTAACAGCACTGGCTTGACCTCTCGAAATCCATAATAAAGCAATGCAAAGGTAAGTTATCGTACAAAAAATGTATGTTCGATTTATGGATAAATCTCCCTTTTTGCAGAAATGGATCCTCTTTTGTTTTCGCTACGAGTTAAGTTTTACCCAGCGGATCCATTTCGACTGACTGGAAATGCACGGATTATGTTATACCAGCAATTAAAAAGGGACCTTCGGCATGGTCGACTGTATTGCTCCTTGGGCGAGGCAGCCGCGCTAGGAGCTTTGATTGTTCAAGGTAAAACTTAAAACCTCATAAAAACTAAATTGATACTTTAAATGTTGTATTCCATTTGCTTAACAGAAGAGCTCGGCGATTATAATGAAGATGTGCATATAGGAGGCTATGTGACTTCCATAGAATTAGCCCTACGCCAGACAGAGTATCTGGAAAAAAAGATAATCGAGCTCCACAAAAAGCGAGAGCCTGGCCAGGATCTCTCCTTGGCCATGGATGAGTTCCTAGGCATAGCACGTGGCTTGGAGACCTACGGCATTGACCCCCATCCGGTAAAGGATCACCGGGGATCGCAGCAATATATCGGAATAAATAACTCGGGTATCAGCACGTTCGTCACCGGCAAACGATCTCAACATTTTCGCTGGAATGAAATTCATAAAATCAATTTTGAAGGCAAAATGTTTATTGCCCATCTGAGCTATACCGACGCTAGCCGTGAACCTGTAAGTTGTATTTAAAAAAGGTATTTATCTTCTTAAATAATTTATTTTAAAAAACTTTTTTTTAGAAAAAGCATACAGTGGGATTTAAGTGTCCAACCGGCGCCGCTTGTCGATATTTGTGGAGATGTGCCATAGAACAAATGCTGTTCTTTACGTAAGTGGTTGTATGTCTATTTCTGCTCCATTTAAATTAATGAATTTATTCGATCCCTAGATTACCAAATAGCCAAAGTGCTGCTGTGATTTCAGGAGGAGGATTTTTCTCATGGGGCACGAAGTTCCGATATACCGGAAGAACTGAGCGCGAAATTTTGACTGAAAACATAAATGCATTGCGGGAACAAAAAATAAACAATTCGAATTCAAGCAAGCGAAAGGCAAGCAGTGTCCCAGCAACGCCGTCCAGTCCCCAAGGCGATTTAGCACAAATACGTAAGTATTATTCATTAATTCGCCTTTTTTTTGAGTGGAGAATGAATTAATTGCTTTTACTAATAAAGTATTAAAATTATCATAATGTGGTCTATGTGTGCGTCTGTCTGTTTCTACGCAAACTAGTCTCTCAGTTTTAAAGATATCGACTTGAAACTTTGCACACACTCTTCTTTCCTTTGCACGCAGTATATAAGTCGGAACGACCGGGATCGGTCGACTACCATATAACTGATTGATCGGAAATGCCATAGCTTTGGTGTTTGTAAAGTTAGAAAGTTGGGATTTTCTATGGGTTTTATTTTTGGCCAATCAATCCGACCTACCAAATTTCATAAGCATTGACTATATCCTATAGCTGCCATATAACTGAACGATTGGAAATTACATAACTTTGGTGTTTTTAAAGTTAGGAAGTTGGGATTTTTTATGAGTATTAAGAATGCATCATATGAAAAATTTTGGAGAATATAATTTACAGAGTATTCTGCAAGGGTATATCAACTTCGGCTCCGCCCGAATTTAGCTTTCCTTTCTTGTTTTAAAATAAAAATGTTAAATTATAAAAACAATAACGGGGAATTAACAATTAAGTTTACAAGAAACCTCTTCTAAAGAATTGGCGTTTTGAAATAAAAATTGAGTAAGACTCTGCTGGCTCTTTCAATAATTTAAAACCGAACTCAGTTACTATTTTATTTAACTTTAACATAATCTTCTTCACTATTATTTTGCAGGATATAGTAGTTTACCGAGATCCACGATGTCAGAGCCCTTGGGATACGGCATGCCAAATGGACACTTTTACGGGCAGGATCACGGCATGAGTGAGGTCAATGGTGGCATCCAAATATCCAGTCTGGAGCCCGTTTGCGAGGAGGCACGGCTGAGGTCGTCGAACATCGAGGGTGTCAACTATTTGGCGACCCAAATGGGGGGCTACGCCTACCGGGACTCCGTCGAACATTCTTCCACTGAGAGCGGGCTGACTGTGAATGGCTACGACCATCCGAGGAAGCATAACGAATCGAAGCAGCACGGCTCCTACTCCCCGAACCTGTACTACGGACAGTCCGACGCCGCCTTGAACTCCAGTTCGACTGCCGATAAGTTTCTGCACGCGGATCAATCCACACGGAAGGTGAAGAAGTTTCGCAAATTCCACCTATTACACGCCTTTGTTCCGTCCGTCATTTTTGTGGCTTTTGCGATGGCCGGAACTGCTGTGTTTATAATGGAGTCCGAGTCGGAAGCCTTCGAGCAGTTGCGCAACTCCCCGGAAATGCTTTGTCTGCGCTACCAATACTATCAGCCTTTGAAAGAGTTTGTGTTGGAGAAGTTGGGTCGGAGAAAATAAGTTTTTTCATTACGTAGAAGCATGTTTAATTCCACTAGCAACAGCTGTATCGGGTATTTTAAAATGTATTTAAGTAAATTCTTTATTATTATGCTATAATGATTCCATATTAAAAACAAAAGCCTGAAATTTATTTTAACATTAAACTAATTCGTTCTGATTGGGTGCTGGCAAAATACAACATTCTTATGCAATATTAGCTCAAGTTTTTAAATGAAATGGGGTAAATTAAATCCTATACATCGCAAGTTAGTCAAAGTACCCTAAGTGGGAATAAAAACGATTAACAGTGAAAGTGTATATACAAATACCCATCTCCACCCTTAAACACCCTTGACACAATAATTTGTCTAGTTTGTTTTAAATTAGCGATATATTCGTAGACACCAAATATTTTTACCTAGATCAAATTCTTCAGTACTTTATATTACTTTGAACAAGAATGAAACCAAACTTCGGCAAGGCAAGGTTTATATACCCTTGCAGCTTTCACAAAAATTAATTGTACCATATTTCGAAGCTTTGTCTATTTCCGGATAAATTTGTCGATCCTTTCTATGACAGTTGTATGCCTTTCTATGGCAATTTATAGTCTTCCGATTTCTACAAAAGTAAACCCGTATTTCTGAATATAGATATATGTTAAACAACAACGAAGTTATAATTTAATTTATTTTTTTCTTTTTTCCCCGACTGTTCCTATAATATATTAGGCCGATCCGGATCGATCCGTTATACACTACCTGCAACAGGAAGAAAACTTTTCCCAAAATCGACTTGACAGAAGTTGCTTATCCAGAATATAATTACTTTTAAAGGTCGTAAATGTGCTTTTCACTATATAAAAAATTTTGACTGAAATTATAATACCCCCTGCAAGGGTATTCAAATACTAATTAAGTGAACACGTATTACGGCATTTAGGTCTTGATTTGAGATATCCTGCAAATTTGTGATTGGTATTAAAAATTTTATTTTTAAGGGAGTATGGAAAATTTTTAAATATTCCAACTTTATTTTATTGTGCGTATCTTGAACACTTATAATGAGCTATAAACGAATTGGACAATCTGGTAGCATAGGTCAAGTCATTAAAAAAATGAACAACTAATTCTTTTGTTTTTAACGTTTACCTATATCTACAACCGAGTATTTATTTAGGGCACCAATAATTTATTATAAACGAGAATATCAATAGAAACCATAAAACTTTCAAAAAACAGTTCTTTTATTTGTCGATATTGTTTTAAATCAATCTTATTCGTTAGATTTATTAAGTAAAACTTTTATTAAATAAATAAATGTGGCTATTCTTTTTTATTACGATGATAGACGGAATATGACCATATCATCAATTGAATGTACATTTTTATAATCTATGTGAAGCTGTCTACTAAAGAACCATATCTGCTTGAAGTCCCAACGATTCTGAGTGTTTCTTGGCTTTCATCCTTAGGTCTGCTATGCTGGAACTCTTGCTGTGAGCTGCGGCAAAGGCAGCCAGATTTATTGAATATTGTGGCACAGAAAAAAGTCCAGCCGGCACGGTTCCATTGGTAATGGCTGCAGCATACTGAAACTCGCAAAAGATTAATAAATAAATGGGATGGTTTATTACTTTGTATTATGGATATTGATATTTCCATGTTACTAAAATTAACGTTGTGCTGGATGCTAATATGTGTCAATACTTCACTTACAATATTTATATTCCATGCACCACAAGGATCAATAGGATATTAAATTTAAAGTTTAATGTATCAGTGTTCTAAAAATGAATAACTACGTTTACAAATTAATGTGTAATGACAAATTGTAGCAATTTTTCAAGAGTACAGTGTAGATACGTATGTTAACCTGCTTAAGTATTTTCATGACAGACTAGAAATCAGCACAACATAATCTTATAGGACCTTTTACTGCCAGTCCTGTAGATTGTTAATTTTTTCTAATTTTACCTGGTGAGCTGCCACCGAAATAATCGCTGGATCGAATGCTGAAAAGGCGGCGGCTGCAGCAACGGTGTTGGAAAACTGCTTGATGGCCGAGCGCGATATCGCCGGAGGATGTGGCGAATCCACGCTGACCACTTTGCCGGAACTCGTGCCACTGGGTGCTTGGGGATTCGAGCTCGCGGCTGCAGCGGGATGAGACGGAACGGATGAGCTTCGAAGGGCGGCCAAACTGACGTAGGGCGCCACGCGACAGGGTTCCAGCGGAGTTGCGATTGGAGGACTACGACTGCCCACCAGGAATCCTTTGAAATATACAGGGTTTAATATGATGTGGTTAACTGTGTTGAGGTTTGTTGGATTTATAACTAAGAAATGAAAGACATTTTAGGAATATCCAGCATTGTATATATCTACCGTTTGCAGGATATATAGGGCTCTTAGATATAGAGCAATTCCTTATGATTTTTAGCCAACGCTTAAAAAAATAAAATAAATAATTGTTTAGAATAAAAAAAGGATATACCCTACTCTCTCTCCTGGTAAAACATATCGCGTACCTAAGATGATTTTGAACAAGTCATTATGTACTTTAAAAATTTTACATTGGCATGTGCTTCATTTCTTAAAAAAAATAACTTACACATTTTTGTTTGGTTACTATTATTACTTTTAAATTCAGGGTCTTATGTGTAAAACTTATTGTAAATTTGTATACCCGAAACTCGTAGTTGAAAGGCTTATTATATTTGTGCGAAGAAAATATTTTCCACCAAGATGGAAAGATGTTTTTCCGTGATCATGGTAATGGGTGCATACTGCTACGTAAGCTTTAACATTCGAGAAATCCGTGTACATTTCTTATTTTCAATTAAAAATTGAGGTTAACTTATTCTCTTAGTGGTTGTTTTCAATAAAATAAACTTGATAAAAATGCAGTTCTATAACAGTTCCATTTATATTTAGGTCCAGTATCGGTCCGTTTAATATATTATGTACACTTCAGCTGCTACTTCTAAAATAATATTGTGGTTCTATTATCCAATGTATTGAACTGATTTGTTTAGAACCGTTGTGCTTTTGAAAATAAAGTTATTTTGAACTTTAATATTTAATTCACATTTTGATATACTCCCTTTATAAATCCACTCATTATTTTCTTTTATTCTAATTTTGTTGAATAACTGCGCGTGTATTAAAAAATGTACCAAAATAATAACTTTAGTACAACGTTTATCTTTGCGATGTATTTTCTGGTATCTTCACAAAAGCTTTAATTTATTTAGTAGCTTATCTTCTTTTTCGGCAATTACCGGGTATACAAATGTTTTATAAAGGTGCATACCCGTACTTTCTAGATTGGGAAATCGTTTTAAGATTCAGTGACAAGTAATTGAATTCATTTTGTAATTTATTGCTCGGGAAACGCCCCGGACCCGGAGGCTGCGTCATTCAACCACAGGGACGTGTTGCTCCTGGAGCACATACAAATGGCTCTCCGGGGACCAGAGCCCAGGTTAACGTCTTGTTTATGGTGGTTCACCGGCGGCAAAAAGCCTGAGAATTGATATGAACCCATAAAGTGCTGCCCATTCGTTGTGTCTGCCGTGCTTTTTATGCCAAATTTCAATTTGATTACATTTCCGAAACTTTTTTATGCCCGAGGTCCGGTATTGAAATACGGCTACATTAGGCGGGAATTTGATAAATGAGATTATATCTTTTAATCCAATTAAGTAATATGAAGCTTAGGTTGATCCTAAATCAGATTTATTGTTATGTGTACGTGGAAAATATTAATTGTATTTATAGGGCAACGTTACAAATGTAAATGTAAGGTGAATTTTACAATGTATTTACATTGTAAAATTCACTTTAACATTCATGTATTGATTTGTTATTCACTAAATTTAGATTATACTCTTGTGTGTTTTAACACGTTCTCCGAAAACCTTGATATTTATTCGGTTTGTTTGCTTTTCGCATTATAATCAATTCTCACAATCCCATCTGCTCAAATTCTACCGAGGAAACAAGCCAAATCCCTTCGGCAATATACATAAAAACGTTTTTTAGCGACAGCAACAGCAACGGCAACAGCAACACAAATCATTGCTAACTTCATCAAATTAAATATTCGGGCAATAAAACGGAGAATACAAATTCTATTGAGTGAGCCCGGGAGTTGATGAATGGGATAAGTCCTTGGAAACGAGGGTTGAAAGGAGAGCCGGATGAATTAATGAAGAGACATTTAAATAACTGTGAAACCGTAACATATTGGCTCGACGAGTTGATAAGCCAGAAAATGAACAGTTTTCCGAAATGTAAATGGTCTTGCCTGATTTCTGTGTACTTAACTAATTGCAATTTACACTTTAATTAAGCTTAATTGAGAAAAACTTGGCTAGAGCGTGGGTGATGAGCGGAGCTTAGAAAGGAAACTAATGATTTTCACCCTGATTTATATTTGTACGTTTTAATGAAAGTGTCGGGACTTTTAGGGATTCCAGAATTGCCAATATGAAATTATGAAATATTCTTTGTGGTGTAATTTAAATGTAGCTTTTTCTTTTCTTTTTTATGCTCACCTTTGTGCATTTGGTTTTCGTGCTTTCTACATTTCGCCCTTCTATTTTGAAACCAAACCTGAAAGTATATTGATAAATGGTTACTTTATATTGAGTTGACTCTGATAGCTTTACCATAATTATAAATTGAAAGTGAAGTAAGCGTAACATTTTTCGATCTGATCTAATTCGGTCATTAATTCTTGTAATACATTAAATTATGGATGTTTATTTGTCATTAATTACAACAGATGTGACCTTCTGGAGCAGGATGATTTTAGCAAGCTAAAAGTTCCGAAAAGTTAAGCAATTTATTACGGGCCATAAAAAAAGTGACACTTTTGCTGCCACTCGAATGGTAGCTACATATTTCATGACCACATAGTGTCTATTGCCGGCACCCTGATTGAGTATTTAATCTTTAACCGGCCCCCTGATGCTAAAACAATTTTCTACTTGCAACCCAGACTGCAAGGGTGGCGTAAACCACTTAACACCCCATATTTTTCACAGCGACGGTGGTTGGAAAATCAAAGTCAGCTTTCACATTCGCCAAGGATTTGGATTTGGGGGACATTGTCTGGTTGTCATTAGTACAAGTGTAATGAATATCCATTGAAAATCAATTTGTGCCCTTAGTAGTGTAGTGTCCAAGGGGCGCCTCCTTTGACATTTTCAATGTCAAGTAGCGATTTGGCCGGAATTTATGGCCTTTTCACGGAGATAATTACCTGCACTCTGGCCTCGCTGAGTCCCAATCTCTGGCTCAGTTCCTCGCGCATAAAGGCATCCGGATAGTGCGTTTCCTCGAAGAGTCGCTCCAGTTCGTTCAGCTGGTCGAGCGTAAAGTTTGTCCGCGATCTTCGCTGCTTGGTGTTGACCACCGACGAGTCCAGATGGTCGCAGTGCTCCCGGATTCTGCTTGGTTCTGGGGAGACGCATTTTTCGGTCGGGACCGGCTTATCCGGCGCCAACTTCGGTGAGTCACTGTCATCCTCGAACTCGCTTATGTTGGCGGCTACCACCGCAGAAACTTTCGGATCTGGAAATTGTACAGTGTTAGCAATAAGGTTAAATACTTTAAAAAAAATTATATATTGCGCCTATTGCGAAACACCAAAGTTCTTTCCGTTTGAAAACGAACAAGCTTGTCTATAAGTTTAAAAAAATCTTTCACCCCCAATTTGTAACTGCCATTTTATATACATTTTGGGGTCTTGATTGCCATAATAATGACATAAGTATACATTGGTAGAGATCTATATCTTTACAAAATATCATGGTTTGAATCCATTTAAAGTTTGTATGCGATACATCGTGTTTTTTTGCATGAACTTTCTGTATGAACTTATTTTAGGAGTTATCGCGTAAACGTTAATTCGTTTCTTGATTTGCTGCTGCTTAACACTTAAAACTTTCAAAATGACGCCCGAGAAAAAAACTTTTTTTCACAGATATTTTATTTGTCCGAAATATATTAAAAAGCACCTGCAAGGGTGTTCAAACTTCGGGTTAATAAAATAAAAGCAATGATTAGGCTTAGCCATGCATAAAATTGAATACCATTAAAATCCGATAAAAAAAAATTACTTTATTTTGGGCCATCAATGGAATTTAAAGAGTCAAATTCATTAGCCGTTTCATAAAATAAGTCTCAAAATTATACTATTATATTTATTTGCCAACTAACAATGTGTGTGTAAGTAATTACTTGTAGTAAAAGGGTACAATGCAAAGGGAAGCATTTCCGATCCTATAAAGTACATTTGTTAGCCATGTCAGTCAGCAAAAACATTAAGATAATGAAGCAAAAGTTGGTTATCCCCAACCTAACGGCCACAGATCGTGAACATCTTTACAGATCTGGTTGAAAAAAGTTTTTGGAAAACGAATACTAATTTGATCAATTCGATCAATAAATAGAAACATTCAAAACAAGAAAGGAATGCTAACTTCGGGCGGAGCCGAAGTTGATATACCCTTGCAGAATACTCTGTAAATTATATTCTCCAAAATTATTCATATGATGCATTCTTAATACTCATAAAAAATCCGACTTTAAAAACACCAAAGTTATAGCATTTCCAATCGTTCAGTTATATGGCAGCTATAAGATATAGTCGGCCGATCCTTATGAACTTTGGTAGGTCGGATTGATTGGCCAAAAATAAAGCCCATAGAAAATCCCAACTTCCTAACTTAACAAACACCAAAGTTATGGCATTTCAGATCAATCAGTTATATGGCGGCTATAGGATATAGTCGGCCGATCCTTATGAAATTTGGTAGGTCGGATTGATTGGCCAAATATAAAACAGATAGAAAATCCCAACTTCCTAACTTTACAAACACCAAAGTTATGGCACTTCCGATCAATCAGTTATATGGCAGCTATAAGATATAGTCGGCCGATCCTTATGAAATTTGGTAGGTCGAATTGATTGGCCAAATATAAAACCCATAGAAAATTCCAACTTCATAACATTACAAACACCAAAGTTATGGCATTTCCGATCAATCAGTTATATGGCAGCTATAGGATATAGTCGGCCGATCCCGGCCATTCCGACATATATACTGCGTGCAAAGGAAATAAGGGTGTGTGCAAAGTTTCAACTCGATAGCTTTAAAACTGAGAGACTAGTTTGCGTAGAAACAGACAGACGGACAGACGGACAGACAGACGGACAGACGGACAGACGGACAGACGGACATGGCTATATCAACTCAGGAGGTGATCCTGATCAAGAATATATATACTTTATAGGGTCGGAAATGTCTCCTTCACTGCGTTGCACACTTTTGACCAAAATTATAATACCCTCTGCAAGGGTATAAAAATATTAAATACAACCATTATACTTTAACATAAAAATTTATTTTTTTTGGAGCCTACTTCTATTGAAATTGGCTAACAGATACGGGTATGGCGTTCCCCTGTCCTTCTTGTTTATTAGTAAATTCTGAAAAAAATGTCGATTTCTAAACGAGGTTGAGAGCGGATTGTGTAAACAGCGTGTAGACAGTAATCCCCTTCTGGAACTGGCAGAACAACTGTCACCTGATGATTCAGATAGCTAATGGGCACCTTTTCAACGTATATATCGTGCTGAAATTACACGTTTTTTTAATGATAAGCGATAAGTAACAAGTACTCACATTGTATGGACAGGAATGGTTCATGTTGGAGAAGGAGGCAAATAGTTCGTAGAAGTATCGAACTATGGGATTGCGTTTCCCCTTCAAGAATTTGCAAGCATCGATCGTGAAGTTAAAGAGAAATGGCTTGTAGCCATTCAATTTTTTTAAGACCTCAACCCTGGCCTAGAATACATTAACACTGACTACGGTTTTCTTTAATACATTTAAATAACTATGTACCTCAATATCCTGAATTGGCAATTGGTAAAATTTGGTTTTAAAGGTCAAATATTTATATGTCCGATTTTTTGATTTTAGAAAACATGCTTCGACATCCATAAATTGCTTGTCCAAAGACGTACATTTAAAATTGGTGAATTCAAATCCGCAGTCGACCTAAAGAAAGGGTTTTGTTATTCGGTGGTTTCTCTAAGCCTTCAAAGATCAGTTTATCCTTACAGCAAATCCAAATAAAATTACGTTCAGAATGACAAGATATGGCAGTTTAAGCACGACCATTCTGAATAATGAGCGATCAACCAATGTCTATTATAGTTTCGATATTTATACGTATGTGCCCGGACCAACTAACGCTACCGATGAGTGACCATTATAATTTATGCGTTTAGATACAAATGTTGATTACGATAATACACATAATTATCTTAAAAGCGGAGGTATTTCATTTTTGTCCTCTTTTGAACCACAATTTTTAGGTTCTTTTTTTGGCGTGCATCATTTTGCAGTCCCCATATATATTTGAGTTCTCTTAAATGTAATACAGTTTTTAAAAGAAAGTGAAATCGTAATGCTCTGTTCATATCCATTATTTACAAAAAAATAATTTTATAATTGTTCAGTTTAAAATGGCCAAGCCCATTCTTCGCTTCAATAATATCAATCAACGAGCATGAGTATGAGTAAAGATTAGACCAAAACCTATGAGTAATTGTAAATGAGCGCCTAATAAAACTTGAAAAGTGCGAAAATCGGTTAAACAAATTTCCAAATTAACCAGAAAATTGATAGTTTAGGTCGACAGCTATACAAATCAATCGTTCTTTTGGCTATGCGTCTTATTTTTGTTAAGTTAGATCAAAATAACATCTAGATGTACGCATAATTCTTCGAAAACAACCGTGCAAAGTGAGAGTGCAAAGGCGGCTTCTATATATAAGCCTAGTATCCACTTCGACGTAAACCGTACGCCAGTCATGAGAGAGAGCGAGAGGCAAACAGCTGGCGTTCACTTTTCGTCGGGCCTTTTTTTCACTTCGGTCTCCTGATCGACGAAAAAAATACCAGAAAATTGCATAGCGTTGCCAGTCTGCGGAAATGAACTTTGGGTGAACCCTAGCGGAAAGATTAAAAAATTTAATCTTTTGGCGTGCGCTTCTCACTGAACATTATAAGAAATGGAGGGAAAAACTCAAAAAACTCACAAAAGTCGATTGCAGGTGTTTACATGTGAGGACAAAATAACATTAATACTATCTGGGGTGCCTCTTGTCAGAGCAAAATGTTTTTTAGGTCCAGAATGTACGAAAAAACACAATAAAAGTGCAGCTATGAACTTTAAATTAGCAAATAATTATCATAAAATTAAAAAAAAAACAACTGTTAAATTTAAATTGTATTGTTTTTTAACTTCTTTGTACAGCGGCAGACTTGTCTTGCCAAGGTATTTGATAATATCTTTTAAAGGCTCTTTCCCCGCAAATACGATATTTGAATTTTAACTGCTTGTCAACAAACCCAGCTGATTGTCAGTACGACCGTAGCACGCTTAAATCCGATGAACTCTCGAAATTTTGGTCACACTGGAAAGATTAAAGTTTTTACGCTAGCATACTCGTTTGTCGATCTGGATACTAGGCTATAGTCACAAAATTAAAACTACACCGGTCGAAAGTAATAGCTTTAACTAAGGGGAGTGCATATCAAGAAAAAAAAATTAAAATTAACTATGTCGTGACCATTAACATTATGTTAACTTTATCTTAAAGTTATGTTAAAGTTATGTTAAAGTTATGTTAAAGTTATGATAAGTTATGTAAAAGTTATATTAAAGTTATGTTAAAGTTATGTTAAAGCAATGTTAAAGTGATGTTAAAGTTATGTTAAAGTTATGTTAAAGTAATGTTAAAGTAATGTTAAAGTTATGCTAATGTTATGTTAATTGTCTGTAAATGTTATGTTAATGCTATGTTAATGTTATGTTAATGTTATGTTAAAGTTATGTTAATGTTAAGTCAATGTTACGCTAATGTTATTACCACGTCATGGCTAATGAGAATTTTTACCATCGACTTATTTATAATTCCCAACCAGTTCTAGTCAAAACTTCATGGAGTAGGGACTGTGGCACGCGTAAAATCAGTTGATCCATTTGACGAAAAGTCAGTGTGTGAGAGTGTCTTACTTGAATATCATATTTGGTGATACCTACTTTTTTGGGTTGATCACCAGGATGCAGGATCAAGGACCTAATAAGGTACTTAGCAATTTTTTATACCCTTGCAGAGGTTATTATAATTTTGGTCAGAAGTTTGTAACGCAGTGAAGGAGACGTTTCCGACCCCAGTATATATATATGTATTATATATATAATATATAAGTATATATATTCTTGATCAGGATCAATAGAGGATTTGATATAGCCATGTCCGTCTGTTTCAATACCGTTTGCGAGCTCAGTTTAAAAGCTAGCGATCTGAAACTTTCACAGTGGTCAAGTTTGAAAACCGCCCAAATCGGATGTCTATATCCTATAGCTCCCATAGGAACAATCGGATATAACTTGCAAGAATGGAAGATATTTCGCGCAGTGTAAAAGCTATTAACATAAATCTTTCCAAATCTTATTTTTTTATGCGTACCTTGATCAGGGTAAAAGCGCTTGGCGATCGGACGTCTATATCCTATAGCTCCTATAGGAACAATATGGTGAAATCGGTTAAAATTTAATGATTTTTAGGATATTTCGCACAGTATATAAGCAATTGACATGAATCTTTCCCAATCGTATTTTTTTATGCTTACCTTGATTAGGGTAAAAGCGCGTGACGATCGGACGTCTATATCCTATAGCTGCCATAGGAACAATATACCGTATTCATTTCGCTACTTTTTCATTTTTAGCAATTTCGGCAAAGTCTGCAAGGGTATTAAAACTTGGGTTTGCCGAAGTTAGCTTCCGTCCTCGTTTAATTATATTAAATACATTAAATTAATTATTTAAAATATAATTCCAGTTTAATGTGCGCTTGGGGAGCGGTTGCTGGTGGCTTATGGAGATACCATGACATGATCCGGATGGAGTGCATCAAGAACCCAACAGAGTGCGCACCATTTCTAGGATAACTTAATTATTTAAGGACGTAACCCCAAACTGGACTTCAGAATGCACTTTCAAAATGTCAACAAGAGGTATGTAATAAATTTACGAATTAGTTCATAAAATGTATTGATACCATCTTGGATGCTTGGATGATGCCTAAATCACGTCATGTAATTAATTTTGTATATATAATTCCAGGTTTTGTGTGTGAGTGTGTTATTGGAAAGCGTTTGTAGGAGGCATAGGGCGATACCATCACTTCCAGTCAATCAAGGAATAAAAGGGGTATGTAGGATAACTTAATTTAATGAATTATGTAAGCAAAAGTATTTGCTCACCTTAAAAACGGTGAAGGCTATTTTGAGATTGATTATTTTACCGAATAGACGGATTCCATTGTAACAATTGTTTTGAATGTGGGCTATTAATGGCAGAGTTTGAAATTATGAGTCAGGGGAGTCCGGCAATCAGTAACCTCGAAGACATGGCTTAGACTCGTTGTTTCCGAAAATCTAACCGAATAAATTCTTTAAATGCATTTGGACCATTTAAATACTACTTATTTTAAGCAAAATAAGTAAATAAAAATATTTAACAACAAGAAAGGAAGCAAATTTTTGATAATTTCTGTGTAATGCCGAGAATAAGACATTTCCGACGCTACAAAATATATTTGTTATTGGTCAGCATCACCAAGAGAGTCGAAACTTGTCTTTCTGTTCGTCTGAATTTTTGGAAAGGAGTAAGAGGTAAAAAAAACGTTTCCAAACCAATAGAGTATATATGTATATTCTTCTATCAGTCTGTCCATATATACGTCAAATCTCGTTTTGCCACAGGACAGATAGAAACATTTACTTTTCCTTATAACGTTTTTGTCATTATTAAAATGAGTTTCTAGTAAACAAACTCGGATAACCAAATCACGGGACACAAAACGTTTTACACTTTTAAGTAAATAATATTAAGTTATCAGTATATCAGTTAGTCCCATTGCACCGGAAAACTTAACTTTCATGACTGGAGTAAATTGTGGATTTAATTTTGCAGTTTTTTTTTTGTCGAAAGTAGCTTTCTTTCTTTTTGGTATATCCCTAAATTAACCGACATCAAGTTTTTGTTTAAAAAGATCCAGTGATAATACGTATAAAAATCAAGATTTTTCCAACAGCGATATTTAATTCATAGGGGACTGGAATTAAAGTCCCATAGTTAATTTTTCACGTTACCTTCCGGCTGGGACTCCACCTCCAAGTCATCTGATATTAGCCAATTTTTGGGCTTGGGCTCCACAGCCTTGCGAAAACTGGGGCTTAGGCGATACTTTTCCACGGCCTCCTCTTGATGGGATTGGGATTCCTCGGGGGGCTCCGGATCGACCGCGAGAATCGTATTGCTCTCCGAAACGGACAAGTCGGTTATGTCTATATCCACCGATTCTTCGCCACTCGCGCAAGTTTCGGCGTAACTGCCGCCGGAACTGATGGAATTTATGAATATGGAGTTTTTCACTTCCGCATGCTTTTTAATTCGCGCGCCCGTCATAGAATTGAACAAGGCGTGAACACTGTTGTTGGTTAAGTTAAATTCAAAGGACTTTGTCACAAACTGTGCCAACTGCTCCATGCTTTTAGTAAATAAATGATAGCCGCAGTTTTTTTATGCGTTCGAGCATAAGTTGCTGTAACGGAACTTAGTTGCCGACTATTTTATAGTCCACACCAATGGCATTCGGCGTGTCTAATCACCTCACTGGCTCTTTATTGCTGCGCATGTCCTTCGGCTTATCCTGATTGAATCCTTGTTGCCAAATTAAGCGAGAGAGCAGGGCATTAAAATGTTATTAGAGGAAGTGGGTAGAAGTGTTATGCGAATCCATCGACCTGCCGTTCTAAAGGATAACTATAACTAGCTCAACATCTTGACTATATTCAATTAACATGTTTATCCTTATGGGTATATGGCGCACACTTTGCCCTTGCTCTCCCTCTGTTTTTCGCTCTCTCGCGAGTCCTTAAAAAATCCACCCCCGGAGTTAAGTCAAGTCCTGCCTACGGTCCTTTAAATTGCTCTCATTGGTCTACTGAGGCAGCGCCGTAACTCCAAAGTGGTTGCACGCTGAGCGATTCCACCTTACTTTCCTATTATTGGTTATAGCCATTATGGAACACAATTTATCCATTAGGCGGCAATGAAACACATTATAATTGCAATAAATGATTCAATGTGGGAGGAGTTTTGCCTGAGCCAGAGAGCGGCATCAAAGGATTTAAGCTTTTAGCACTTCATAAATACTTTTAAATTCGGTGTGCTTAACATGTAAATCTACTGCTGGGTCGTTATTTTTATCTCCCAAAGTCGTCGTATGGGGACCGGAACCTGTTTTATTGATTGGGGGCGGGCACTAAGCTATAAAATCAGGACTTGAGTTGGCGCTTTGCCACGCCCCGAATATTCATTACTTTAACTTTGTGTTAATGACACTGGGCAACAAACGTGACATAATTGTTTTTTTAGTGCATATTTATTTAGGGATAAACCTATATATTTCGTTACTTGGTTCCAAAACAAAGTTATGTATGTGTCTCTTTTGGGACCAAACTATGCTGGACAGTGTATAATAATCTCATTTCGACTTCGGGGTAATGTTAATTTAATAGGAAGTAGTTAGTTTAGTAATTTGTCACAAACACATATAATCCGATAATGCAGTTTTAAGTAACAAGTAAACTATGGGATACCAGCTGAACACACTGGTCTGGTATAAAATATGGCTCAATTTTTTGGAGAACGCATTTTTTAGAAAAAAAACATCTTGCATACATTGTTGAAATATACTTATATATAAGGCATAAATACGCCATTAAAATATGTTTTCTCATAAGAGTTTTACGGTATTCTAGATTAAAAGACATTCATGTAACAAACCGATTTTATTTCCTGTTTCCTATAAAATAATTAGTAATATTTTTATATGTAAATGAGCTCAGTTTGTAAACGAAGTTTCTTATTGTATTTCACCTTGTTGCCGAAATATCTGCAACATTTTTGTATTATTTTTTTAAATAATTTAATAACTCAATTGTTAATTGCGATTTGCTTTTAATTGGGTCAAAATTTATTTGAACAAATAGAGTTTAAACTATGGCATACGCAGCATAATTGGCAATTCCACACATATTTACTCCTTTTCGAATTCTCATATAACCAGATTCGCCCCAAAGTTCCCCCCACCAATTCTTTAAAATCCAATAATCCTTTCCAAAGCCAATAATCAACATTGCATGATTTACAGAAGCTGACGAACACAAAACGTCATCGTAGACACCGTCACTGAAAGAAAAATATGTTAAAATGGACATTTAAGACTTAAAAAATTATAAGACTTTATTATTACCTGTACAGCTGAAATGTTTTTGGAGTTGCATTAATGGATATGGCTACCGGTCCAATATGAGCAACTGCTGCCTGAATCGCTTGTTCATCGTGCAGAGGAAGTATGGCCCAGGATGTTACGTTAACCACAGATAGGTCAGGAACAAATTGGCATCTTCCCTTCTGCAAAATATCATTTGATTTCATAGGGATCAACATATTATATACAATTATTCATATCTTTACACCTGTTGTTGCTCAGTTATACAAAAAAAACAACAACAATGATTCAGGAACCATATTCGATTTTAAAGCATACCTTTTATAGACGACTTCAAATATTCTTTAAGTTGTAAGACATTAATTACCTTTGCGACATACCCATAATCCTCTGCCCTCATTAAGCCCCCAGTGCTCTGCAAATAGGTAAGGGTGTTTCGCAAGGAGCCACCAACGCATCCTTGATTTCCATGGGACACACTGCAGTCCACAATTTGTTGCTCACTCAAATTCAATATTTTTCCGGTACGTTTAAAAACCTGTCCTTCGATGCTCTCAGCAATGGAAAAAGCATAACACGAACCGCAAGATTGTTGATTGTGAGATGGTGTAATAAAACCCTTACTTCGCCAATCCAAACTTTCGGGTACGTTTGTCATTAAGGAAGAGCCAACTATTTCAGCCATATTATCCACGCTGTCTTCAACATTGCTTTTTATTAGCCGCAAATATCCCTTTAGGTAACCATCTGTACTCTATTTTTAACGATACATATACATGATTGAAAATAAAATATTTAAGCTTTAGCTTTAAAGAAAATATATACCATGTCAGCAAAAATATTTGGTTTCAATCTGAAGGTTGTCCGACCATCCTGGTAATTTTGATTATGTTCCTCTATAACTTTGTAGTTTTCTTCAAAAGCTTTTAAGCTCCGCAATTCATCATTATTGCGAAGATATTTGCGATTATTAATATTCTATAAGTACAAAGAATTTATCAGATATAACATTTATCAGTTATTCTTATTTGTAAGTTATAAGGAACATTTTTTTACCTTAAACTTTTCAAATTCACTTTTGTAATCTAACGTAGTTAAATTTCCTTTATTTAAATCGGAAGTCACAATTTGATATTTTTGGCCACATAAACAGATACAAATTAAAATTTTCCACATAGCGCCGACTCCCATACGTCCAGATACTGTCGATATATGTACATAATAAAATCGCAACTAAGCATTTTCACTTAACAACAATTATCAGTGGAAATGTTTATTGGGAGATCGAATCTTAAATACGCTACTAAACCGACTTTAAAAAAAGTGTAAAACTTAACTTTAGTGGCCCAAACTAAATAATAATATGTTTAATTTAAAATGTTAAAAAAGTTATTACGTAATATATAAAGAGGAATTAATTTATGTTGTTATTATGTTTAAGTGATGATTTTAAAGGATTTCAATCGGAATATTTAAAGTCATTATACTCATTATCATCAAGAGTATATGACAAACGTAACGTAGACACAGTTCTTCTGCAAACAAGTTTACCTTAAGAATCCTTAGAAAGTTAACGATATTAAATTTTAATGTTCAAAGCGTAAATGAAAAATAAAAATATGGAATTATACAACATTAATCACAAAACAAGAAGTTAGGAAAAAATAACGAGAAGATTGGCAGGTGCGGCATACCAAAATCAAAAATGTTTTTTTTTTTTAACTCGAAAAATAATGTTATTATATTCTTTAGAAGAGGATGACATGAATAAATAAATCAAATTGTTTTGGTTTTGAAGAGTGATGGTCAACGCTGACAGAAAACAGAAATGGTTATAAATTTTAAGTTTCAGTTTTTCAATTTTTTAATTCTTAAAAATATAAAATTAAACCTTTTATATTTATATTGTTTTTTTAATTTTTTGTCTTATATTGTTTTTCTTACGTGGATACCTTTAATGGCTCTGTACGTTTGTTTATGTTTATTAAGCTAATTTTATATTTACATTGGGAAGAAACATTTATTAACCCATTATCATTATAAGTTGTGCAGAATTTTCCTAACCGAATCGTTATATGTGATTTTAAGAAATTTTATCATTTTATTATTTTGAACAAAACAAAATAAAAATTTTGTAATACCCACGATCCATTTTAAAATTTTTCCATAATACTTGGGTCCCTCACCTTCAGGTTCCACTATTTCCGGTATATAATTACATTTTTAATTATGTGGCACATAAGTTCAGATGAGCTTTTTAACATTTTTTCGTGTCGTTTTATAAAATAAAATCAGAAAAAAGAATTTTTACAACAGGTTTAAAAACCGACCTTTACAAAATTCTGCTCACGCCAATCCCGATTGTTTGTCAGCTTTTTTGGATGGAGGATTGGGGCTCACCGGGAGCATGAGTTTCACATCCGTCAAAAATCCCAACCGTTCCACTGGGATGTGCTCTTTGGGATTTGGGTATAAAATTTTAGCGTGTCAATAACTATCTAGCTGGTGAACGTTCCTATTTAAAATTTACCCGTGGATTTAAAGTTCAGATAGGCTTTTTATCATTATCTTATAGGGCTTAATAAAATAATAACAGGACTGAGTATTTTTTATAAAAGTTTCATAAATTTGAAAAGCGCATTCAAACAATTTATTACTGTTGACTGTTGTCAGCATTTTTTGGATGGTTTCAAAAATTCCAGCCGTCCCGCTGGATATAAAGATAAAGAAAATGTAAAACAAGTAATGGTAAAACACGCACAAAATAGCTTCACATGACCTTTGTCATACATGCCAAACGAACAGCATTGTTTCTTTTCATTTGTGTCAGAAATGATTAAAAGTGTGTTGTCTTAGCCTTAAAAACAGCTGTTTTGCATAACATTGCGAATCCGGTTGATTTGCGTCAAAACAAAAACCAGGATCATGCTAAAAACCGCTGTTAGCCGCTTATTACAAATTAATTCAGTAAGTGAAACTAAGTCACTAGCTTGTACGGAAGGTAAACGTCTAAATTGCAGGTGAAATGTGGCGGCCGGGCGAATTCGGTTCGCAATATCAACCTGATTCCCATGGTAGTCGAGCAAACTGGCCGCGGTGAACGGGCGTACGACATTTTCTCACGCTTGCTAAAGGAGCGTATAATATGTCTGATGGGCAACATAACCGACGACATCAGCTCCACCGTTGTGGCTCAGTTGCTGTTTCTGCAATCGGAGAACGTCAATAAGCCGATTCATCTGTACATCAATTCCCCGGGCGGCGTTGTAACAGCGGGTCTGGCGATATACGATACGATGCAGTACGTCAAGCCACCGATAGCGACGTGGTGCGTGGGACAGGCCTGCTCAATGGGATCCCTCCTCCTGGCGGCCGGTGCTCCGGGAATGCGATACTCCTTGCCCAATGCCCGGATCATGATTCACCAACCATCGGGAGGCGCACAAGTAAGTTAGATCCCGGTTCTTGTATTCCCGGTATTCATGAGGTTATCTCACCCAGGGCCAAGCTACAGACATCCTTATACATGCCGAGGAAATTATCAAAATTAAGCGCCAACTCACCAAAATTTACGTGAAGCATGCAAAAAACTCATATGAAGAGATGTGCGGGCGCATGGAGCGCGACCACTTTATGACCCCAGAAGAGGCCAAAGTGCTGGGCATAATCGACCACGTTCTCGAACATCCGCCAGAGACGGTTTCGGAAACTGGGCCCGCATCGGAAGGCGGCGTCGCCGGCAAATCAATGCCCGAGGAGTCTGAGAAGAGGAGCAAGCAAGCGGCTTAGAAGTCAATCACGCGTATAAACCAAAATTCGATATCAAAACGTTTTGGATACATCATTTTTCTTTAGAATGTAAACTTTCAAATAATACCAAGAAAACCTCAAGTCGAGTTTTTCCTAAAGCAGCTAACCGATTGCATAATTAGGGTAGTGAAGCTTTTATATAATTATGATCATTGCCGGTGATCTGGAATTATCGTATTCTGCCTCAAAGAGCTAGTCTCTTTTGAGAGGAGAACGTAAGCAATATTTACTTGAACGAATGAAAGAGTTTCGACACCTTTCCTTCAAAACTTTTCCCCAGCACATTCAATAAAAAACTTAGAAACTCTTGAAAAAAAAATAAATTTATGGTGAACCACAAAAATACCGTACTTAGTATTTTCTTTGTAGCTTGTGAATGTTTTGATAATTAACTGTTTCAAGTCGATCTGCATTTATTTCTTATTAGAAAATCTAAAAGCTATATCAGAAAAGAGATACTTGTTTGTGCGCACACGCATATTCTTAATTAAGTAAAGGAATTAGAAAACCAAGTTTCCCTTTTAGCTTTGATCCATTACAATAATATCTGCGGTACCGGTGATGGAATCCTTTTGTATGTAATCGTAGATCTTGCTCAATTCTGGAGTCTCCTTGATCGACTTAAGGAAATCCACTAATTGCTGATTTTTGTCTGTCAAATAGTAATTCTGGTTAGATTCTGCACAGATACAATATTTCCGCCGTAAACTCACTTGCTTTGGGTATTTGCGAAAGGGCCGACACTGCACGAAGGGCAGAACGCTTCAGTTCGTCTTGCTTTTCGTACTCCTGTTTCACAGAATTGGCCTTCACCTTGTGGGTGCACGTATCACGTAGTTGCTGTATAAATTGATCGAGTCCTGAAAGAGAGGCGTGGGCTAGTTATGACCATTGAACCAGCTGGATTTATGTACTACTTACTGAGAAGGACCTTATCCGGACACAAAATCGCCAGACGTGCCGTCATCAGGTACGTCAGCATCTTGATGTCGTAGTGGTCGCAGAGTCCAGCCTGCACATGGTCCAAGAACTGCATGACATCCACACGATCCAAGCCCTGCTCGAGAAGTGTGTACATGCACTCAAATGCCGCCTTGCGAATGTCGAGACCGTCATCGACGGTGTGCTTAAAGGGACCCATCTCCACCTCCCTGATGAGTTCGCTCTTCACCTTCGTCTCCGAGTACAGCCAAGGCAAGAGTGTGGGCAGCAAATCGCGCACCAAGCTGGGCTTGTTGTGCACCGCAGAGTTGAAGGCCACGAGGGCGACGCGTCGGACCTGGGGCTCCGGATCTCGCAGGGCGAACAGGAATTCGCCAATGTTCTGCTTGAGCAGCACATCTATGGGCTGTGGCTGATCGGATATAGTGAACTTGACGGAGGACACCACCACGGTGCGCATGGTGGCGCTCTCGGACCGCAAAGCCTGCTGCAGCTGCGGCAACAGCTCGTCGGGATTAACAAGCACCAGTTTGCCCAGGCATTCGGCCACCACGTTGCGCGATCCCTCCTCCGAGCATTCGCAGTGTTTAAAGAGCTGACTCCAAATGGATGGCACCGAGGGCAAGAGTTGAGCGAGTCCGCTGGGCGACACCGACAGTGAAGATATAACCTCCTTCAGTGAATGAAGCAGCAAGTACTGTCTCTTGGGCTGCACCTCGATCTCGTTCAGAATCAGAGGAAGATATGTCTGGAGGCTTCCTACGCACACCGCACCGAGGGCATGAGATGCGGCCGCCTTCACATCTTCTGAGGTGGCTCCAAAGCATTCAATAATTGTTTGGGGCAGCACCTGTATCGAGCTCAGATCAAAGTGCCTGCCAATCTCCCCGATCGTAAGCAAGCAGAAGATAATTTCCGTATCGTTGCGCTTCTGAAGATCCGTAATCAGCTTGGTGGCCAATGGAGTCGCCACCTGGGGACACTGTTGGGTAAGGGCCGCGATGCACTTGGCCGACGAGTGATATGCCTGCTTGTGCAGCTGCACCACCTCACTGGGAGCCCCGGCTGTGGCTCTAGAGTTGGCGTCACCGTTGCCAGCCAGAACGGGTGCCATGAGCTTCGACACCAAAGAATGATAGTCTAGGCCGGACAGCTGTGTTTGCACCAAGGCCTGGAAAAGCTCCAAGGTGCAATTTAATGCAGATCCCTGAAAAAAGGAAACGGTTATTGCTTTTGTTTTAGTAAATGTTAACCAAGGTCTAAAGATGAGTTACCGTCTACTAGCACCTTTAGCCCTTGGTCATAATTGAAATGTTTTGACCCACCTGCAGCAAAGGAGATCGCACCAAAATGAGCACTGATCGCAAGAACTGTTCATGTATGCCGACCAAAGCTTGGGGCTGCCTGCGAGCCACAGTACTTAATAGCGTCAGCGAGTACTGCGCAACGTGCAAATCCGAATCCGATATGAGCGGCGGAATCTCAACTATGGCTGTCTGCAGTAGATTTGCCTCGAAGTTGCTCGAATAGTTGATGACGATCTTGTTGATAAGATCTAGAGAGTGCAGCTTGAGGGCGCGGTGGTTCTTACGCAGGAACGTGCCCAGGGCTGGCAGCACGTCGTGCAGGATGGGAGTTAGATCTATGCGCAGGGATGATGCAGCGATCAGGGTCAAGGCTTTTACGCTGCTCAGCCTGGTTACTTCGTTCTTCAGGCGCTCCATGAAGATGGGCAGGCAAACTGCCAACTCGGTCTGCAGCATGTCGCCCATGTTAGCGATTATCTGTCCCATGCAGGCAATGGCTCGCTCCTTCACCTCCTGGTCAACATCCGTGACTTTCAGTTTCTGCAAGGTGCACGAGTAAACTGGCCCCACAAACGAGGGTGCATCAAAGTCTGACCTGGCAGCATTCGCCTCCAAAGGACGAATCACCTTTACCAACTGTTGCAGCACCAAGAGTGCCTCTGTGGCAATTTTATAGAACGGATCGAATACCGAAGTCACAACTAGGGGCACCAGCGAGGGTATATGTGGATGAAAGGCGTGTGGCGGATGACCCTGGAGTAGGGAGTAAAGAAATCCCAGCGATTCGATCTTCATGTTGCTTGTCGAACTCTTGTCATTCAGCGAATAGCTTATGCCAGGCACAATGCTCTCCAAGTAGGGACCCAGGGCGCCTGGCAGCGAATTCAAGAGCTCACGCAGCAAGAGGAAGCAGTCTTGACGCGTTTTCATCGATTTTTCCCGCATTAACGGCTGTATGGCTTTCACGATAAGTGGTAGCTGTTCAATTAGCAGCGACGTCGGCCCCGACACTTGGTCCATGGAGTCGGGGTCGTTGGCCACGTCGTCGCTCAGGCGAGTGTTCTTCAGTAATGCCACATAGGCGTGGAATATGTCGGACTTTACATTCTCCTCTCGCTCCTTGAAACGTGCAATCAAGGCCGGGCTCAAGCTGCGGTAGAAGTCCTCGATGAGCTCCTGGCGTGTGGAAATCAGAACCTCCAAGCACTTGGCTGCAGCACGACGAACCTTCCAGCTCATGTCGTCGTCGTCGCTGTACTCCTCGCTGTCAACGTACTCATCATCCTCCGTGTCCATGGCGTTGCCAGTATCGCCGTCATCAGTCTCGTAGTTGTAATTTGGATCATAGGTTATATATTTGAGGCACAGCTCCAGAATCTTAAAAAAAAAATTTAGCTCAAACAATGTATACTTTGCCTTGTACTGCCTACCATTGGAATGTGCGGATTTATGGCATCTGGACAACGCATAACAAATGCTTCGCATGCCTGCAGGCAAAACTCGCGCAACTCATCGTCGTCTCGCTGGCTGTACTGGCTCAGCAGAAGCATAGATCGGTCAATGTGATTGCACAGCCGATGCCCAGCCTGTCGACTGAAAATAAAAATTATAAAATATTTGTAGTGAATTTTTAAAATTTTTATAATATTTTAAGGTCCTAAAGTAACCTTACGGTCAGCGCATTGGCCTTAAATACATACTGTTGTCCCTTAATTAATAATTTGTTTTCATTAATGTGACTGAAACTTTGTTTTACTTTGAAACAAAAAGTTTTTTTGCACTCTATATTTTGGGATCACTTAGTTTAGAAATGATAGAAAGTTTTTTTTTAATTCGAATTATTCTTGCTGACCACTACGCATCGCCTAAAACTTTTAATTTAATTTGTTGGTTTTCACAAGAGTTGGTTTTTCTGGATCCAAACTCTTGACTAGATACAAAGTTCTATTTAAAATATTTCTAGTCGGAAAACCGAAATTAGAAACAAGTTAACGACGGAATAGCCAGAACAATGAAGTTAAAAGGCTGTTTCGAAAACATTATCTCTTTAAATATCATGTTAAAGATTTCCTGATTCAACTATTTTAAGTATATTTTCTCAGGTGCAATACTTAACTACTGCGAGTCACATCTTACCATATCGATGCCAGGCACTGAATGTACGTCCGAATGGCAGCAGGATTGGGTGGGTTCTCGAGACCATCGAGCAGGTGATCAATGACGCCGTTGTAGGCGTTGCTGTTGGCCTGAATCAGCAGAAAGGAGAGGGCTACGATGGTGCGCTTGCGAACGGCCTGGCGCGAAGAGGCCAGCTGGGGCATCAGGGCCTTCAGGATAGTGCTGTGAAAGGGGACCAGGAACTCGCCGAAACGAGAGAGCAAGTCAGCCAGTATGTCGAGCGACTCCAGTTTTACAGAGACATCCTCCTGGAAGAAGTATAGAGTATGAAACATGTGAAGAAATCTGGAACGGCAGGGTACCCACCTTTTCAATGGCCGTGCTCAGCTTGCCGGTGATCCGTTGGCAGACATTGGGGGCCAGTGAATTGGAGGACTGCGGGAGCTCGGCAATAACTGTCTTCAAGCCGATGCTCGATATGTCGCGCAGCTGCTCCGTGTTCGACATCATGTTAGCGCACAGCGAATCCACAATGGTCTCCACCTGGATCTCCTTTACCTTGTTGACCAGCGGACCCAGGCACTTTACAGCTAAGTTCTGTACCTCGCCGTTCTTGTCCTCCAGTAGTTTTAGCACCATTCGCACCACTTTTTTCTCCGACTCGTCGTCCAGAATAATGCTGTCTTTCTGTAGCTCCGTCATCAGGTCGTTTGTCGCCATGAAACGGAAATCCTTGTCCGTCGACGTCATCTGCAGCAGACCGAGGCTCCATTATAATTTCATTATATTGCTAAAATAAAATTCTATACATACTTTTTCCAGCAGATTCGCAATTTGGTGATATTGATGTGACGCCATAGCGAAGCCTTTGAAACGTTTGCTTGGTTACAATTAAGTGATAGAAAAATATTGAATATTTATTTAGGGTTGCCCTATTTTTGTCGTTGGAAAACTTGACAGTCTACTGAAATTTTTCCGGCAGAGAATCGCCAAGCTTTATATTCACTTCACTCAAAAGCAATTTTGTTATAAAGACTGCGTTAAGGGGGCCAGATAGCATCAACGAAAAGGAACTAACGCATTTGCATGCCGATAAGCAAATTCGTCAATTCACAAGCATTCACGCAGGGCTACACAAAATATTTCACGAACGATTGAAAATATAACCGAAAAATTTGAATTTTGTTGCGCATTATTAGTTTAATTTGTATTTCCTAATTTAAGTGAATAAATCGATAATCAAAACTACATAAAATTATTTTTGTCAAATAGCTTGAAACAATTCATATATTCTAATTCTACTATTCGGGTGCTCCAGAAATCTCTTCCAATCAAACTAGCTTGGAAATTATATTCCTACACGGTTCGGTAAGCAAAACTTAAGAACATTTTCTTAATGGCAACTGACAAGTAGCTTGAAACAGTTTACTGATTCTAATTCAATTAATCCGGTTGTTCCAGAAATCAACCAAATTCATTCATTTGATCAGAAGTCATTATCCACATGGTAATTTATATCTAATGTTGTTTTAAAGTATTAAGAAAAAGAGACTATAATTATTTTATTTTATTAATTAGTAATTTTTTAAATGTTTAAATTTGGGTGTTCTTTTCCATCGTTTCGGATCTATGACAAAGTAATGATGGCATAGAGTCTCCCATCTCTAAAGTTGTGCCGCTCTTTTTCATACGAACTATATTAACCAAACGCTGAAATTAAACTAAAAAATATTTTATTCATCCTCAAAGTATATTGAAAAATGAATAACATCTTGAATAAGGAGAACACAGGCGTTAATTGTAAGTTAATCTTTGTTCAATATCCATAAAATCCAGTAATTTAATTGACATTCAATATTTTAGTGCCGACCAATCCTATAAAAAATGTAGTTGCTCCTAATTCAGTGCTAAAAAAATGCGTCCTTGGGAAACTAGATAATGTGATGCACCAAACTCCTAAAATTACTCCGTTTAAAAGGAATACTGTGAGACTGGAGGACAGCACCGCCAAGTTATCGTTTCGCAAGACCCATAAACAAACCATTATAGCCAAGGACCGAGAAGAAGAAATTGTTAGAACAACAAGTTGTTATTTGGGCGCTTACATGTTAAGATGCGAAGCCCAAGCCATAAATTTGTTTAACTACACTGACTTTCCAAACGAGAAATGTTTGAAGAAATGCGGTAAACGTGAGTCATATAAATAATTCCGATCCTCAGTAATTGCTGAACTACATTCCTTAACTCTTTTTAGCCATCACGGAAACCTGGTCGGATAGTCAATCTGGATATGATGCACTGTTTAAACAACTTTATTGTGACCCTTGCAAATGGGAAGAACAATTAGGCAATCAGAATTTCCCTCCGTTAGTATCCGATTATGATGAACTCACATGCATTGATGACGCAGAAAACATCGAAACCGATGATTATCAGTTCGTTTTAGATTTGTTTGCGCCAATGCCAAACCTAGAAAGTGTTGATATCCTTTTTTAAATCTTTGTTAGGAAATTTATTTGTTTATTTTGTAGCTTAATGTCCATTCACTCCATAGTTACGTTTGTAATAAAAGTCATACATTAGAATTTTAAATTATCGTTTATGTATTAATAAATGTAATGCTAAGAGAATAAAGTTAAGTGTAACTAAAACCAAAATCACTAGAAATGCAAGCCTTATCTTCAAATCTGATATGTTTAATTTTTTGCAATTAAAAATATCGAGTTAACCTCTGGACGAAGTGCGTAAAACTAATATTATCCGTAAAAAATCAACAAAGAGCCTAAATCGTTTAAAAAGCAACTCCATTCAAAAATTCCTAATTTATTATTACAAGATTTTAAAGCCAACTGTCGATTTTAAGACTTAGCGACTAAACGGGAATGGAAAAGAGCCCAAATCGCTTGACTTATTTCTACTTGAGAGACATGCCAGTTACATATCTCATTGTACTATATGTGGCTTAATAAATATTGAGAATCATATTAATACAATAATAAGGTTTGTCTAAGAAGTTGCCGAACTTTTGAAAGATTATTAGAAACCACAATAGATTTTTGAGCAACTTGTTTATTTTGTTATTCAAAGTAATCTCCCTCCGACTGACTACACATATCAGCCCAATTCAATAATTTGTGAGTTTTGGTAAAAGTTTTACCAAGTTTCTAACAAAACTATATTGCCTTCGTGCTCAGCACTCATTTTTGCACCGATAAGGTACTGTCACATTGGACGCTATAACTCCAGTTCCGATGTTCCAAATGTCATGAAATTCGGAGCGAATGTAATAAACATTGTACCTTCTTAACGCAGGTCCACACCAAGAGGTGGCGCCAGCAGAAAATGCCTTTTAAAAAAGTTTGGAAAAAGTTTTAGACAGACCTTGTATATGATATTATATTAAAATTAGCTTCCATTCTTCTTGATCTGGTTTCTGAAATTAGCTATATTTTTAACCAGAAGAAAAATAGCTATTTGTTAGACCATAATAAGAAAATCAATTTAGTTTTTTACTTGATAATTTGTTTTTTAAGAGTTTTGATTTTAGTTAACAGCCAAAGAAAAATCTAGCCTTTTCGAGCTTAACTTGTTGTGTGTTCTAGCTTGTTTCTGGTAGCCAATAGCTGGCATCACTGAAACACAGTAATGTATCCAGTTTTTTTTACATTAGTGCAGAAAGGTTTCTCATCTTGTGGTGACCTTAGTTGCCCGTTCCTCTGGATGAAATAAAAGTGAAAATTAATAATACAAATGTATAAAAAAATATATATAAATAAACCTGACTAATGACAATACACTTTAGATGAAAAAAAACAAACTTAATGTATGCAATTTCACATTTATATTTGTGTTTGTGCTTAAATTGTGTTATTTTACGGCAAAACGATATAAAAACATATATTGTCACTGACTATCTGAATATACCTAAACGAAAGACTTAGGCGACAAACTCGATTTTATAATTATCGGTGGATGTTGGGATGTACATATGTTTAAAGACGTGGCAGTGTCACCAGTGCAGCAACACCACTCTTGTATATGTATGTAAACATATGTATGCTGTTAATGTATATTATTTCCTGTGTGATGAAATCCAGATTGAGTTAATTAACGACATTTAATTTGCTTAGAAGTTTACTGCTGTGAAAACTTCTACCCAATATACTTATTATATGTTAATTTCTGCGTTATACATTAATGTTATGCGGTTTTACTTGAGCTGAAAAAAACTGAACCAGTCTTTGTTCAACATACTATTGAATAATCTGTAAAATGGTTTACCCCGAAGAACCTTTTTGGGTTTTACCAACGGTAACTGGATTCTACGAAGATAGAGACTATAGAGGTAAAATTATTTTATAAATTATTATTTTATTTATAAATTACGCTAATGTACATATATAAATATGTATTTCAGTTAATGTCGTTGAAGCCCTTCAAGAGTTTTGGCAAATGAAGCAATCCCGTGGAGCCGAAATGAAAAATGGGGCTCTTGTGATTTATGAATCGATACCAGCAAATAGCCAGCCATACATTTGTTTCGTAACACTGCCTGGAGGAAGCTGCTTTGGAAGTTTTCAAGTAAGTATAAGTTTTAAAAAGCATAACATATGTGACACAGAAATCTCTTCAGCTGGAGTTCGAATGAACATCATTAGTATATTCAAACCCAAAACGATTTTTGCGTAACCCCTGATAATTTAGAAATGATTTTTGGTCTTTTTAGAATTGTCCAACGAAGGCAGAGGCTCGTCGCAGTTCAGCCAAGATTGCGTTGATGAACTCGGTGTTCAACGAGCACCCATCGCGCCGAATTAGCGACGAGTTTATTCAAAAAGCTGTTCAGGATGCTCGGACCTCTTTCAAAGGGACATCGCAGATCAACGAGGGCACAGAGTCTGGAATAGGTGCATTCAGGTGAGGACTACTACCAAAATAATTTGTTCATATCGAAAAGTACAGAGCGTACATAAAAAGAAAATAACGAAAAGAGACTCTCTCTAATAAGTTAATGGTTCCAAAGTATTTGTGGATTTTTCTTCCTCTATTACTGTTATTTTAACGATTGACTCATTTGGACAGCTTTTTTTCGTGCAGCTAGTATAGCTTATACTATACAAAAAAAAATTTAGCTACTATAGTTATCTTGGGAACTTGCCTTTTACATGTTAAAATGAACTATACATTTTAACATGTAAAAGGCAAGTTCCCAAGATAACTATAGTAGCTAGATTTTTGATTAGGATTAAGATTGCCCACGAAATGTTTTTTCAAGCATATTATGTGGCGGTCATATTTTTACACAAGCAACAAGTTTTTAATTAAAATACATACTTAAGTAGATGTATAGCTGGATATTTGATAATTTTTAAATTCTGACATTCTCAGAAAAATCACATATGTTGATTTGAATGCTAATATTTTTTAAAAGTACAATCATTTAAAAAAAAGAGCCTTTAACTTATTAGTTAATTATAATAAATGAATAACATTTACCTTACTAATAGTCGTGGCCTTCGACTATCGTGTTTTTAACTTGTAAATAAAATATTTTTGAGTTTAGATTCATGCTGGAGGCAAATAAGGGAAGAACAATGTTGGAGTTCCAAGAGCTTATGACTGTCTTCCAACTGCTTCACTGGAATGGATCGTTGAAGGCAATGCGCGAACGCCACTGCTCGAGGCAGGAAGTCGTGGCCCACTATTCCAACCGCAGTCTGGACGACGAGATGCGGTCACAGATGGCATTAGACTGGATTGCCAGGGAACACGACAATCCCGGCGTTATCCGCAGGGAATTAGTGCTCGCCGAGAGAGAGCTGGAGACCTTTCGCATGGCTGGACGCGAACTGCGTTTTCCGAAAGAAAAAAAGGACATACTTATGATAGCTCATAATCAACTGGGCGGTAGTGCCCTTAACTCGGCTTCCATTGATGATTGATCAAGAAAACTAATAAGCATCTTGCCTGATCAAAATTAACCACTTTTTTAGATAAATCAAACCATTTCACTTTGAGTAGCGATCAATATTTATTTAATTGGCATACCATATGATCTCCATGATGAAAAACAAGCGGAAAAAATATTACTCTTCCCACAAACACTTCCAAATTAAAAAAAAATTAATTTTAAAAATCTTTGAAAATGTGATTTTTAAAACAGCTGCTACAAAAATAAGACTAAACCCAATAAAATATAAATATATTATTTTAACTTAAATGTCCATACTTTATTGTAAAAGGCTATTCATTAAACCAAATATCTGAAGCTAGTCATCGAAGGTGGACGGGTCCTCAAAACGGAATGAAACTTTTATCATCGATATGTTGTCCATCATCGCAAATAAATATTAACTTAGTAACTTAAAAAAAAGAAACAAAAAAATCTTATACGCCAATCTGAAATGTTGACAGAAAAAATTGAAAGAAAAAATATTGCAACTATTCATTACTCAAATTGTAGCTTGGAGCAGTGTTAACCTTTCTAATACGCCTTTGGAAAACAAAGCTAAGAACATGTCGTCCGTCAATTTAAATTGTTTTTTGCCACCATTTCAAGGTTGCACGGGAATACCATCGGTTAAATATCACTAGAAACATGTGTTTAGAATTGTTATTCTAATTAATATTGGATCATTTTTAGCACGTCAAGCCCTAAAATCCCGTAAACGGTTGGTTGATTTTGCTTTGGGGACTAGGCTATTATAAATCTTTTCCGATATCATGTGCTCTTTTAATTTGTAGTAATTTCAAAACCATAATATAAATACTATTCCCAGCCCACCGTTCCATTTTCACACACAAATACAACTGGACGTCAGTCCATCCCTCGAAATCACAGCCAATTGTGCCGCTATCTTGTCTGTTTTTCTGTGAATATAACACATACATACAATAAAAATAAGAAAAAACGAAGAAAAAGGTGCTCTAAAGCTGCCCAATTGCGCTTAAAAACACAGAGCACAAAACGGCTGAGATAATACTTCAAAGAACAAACTTGAAATACACGGATTTGGCTACATCATGGCCACTGAAGAGTTGCCAGCTGACCTGGACAAGTTGAAAATAACACAGACTCATCCTCTTACCAAGACTGTGGAACGGAACCCATTTTACGATGCGGATAATGGATTTGATTCGTCTGATAACTCAGAGGCAACAATGAGCTCTAAACCCCGATCACAACATCGCTGGAAGTGCAGACCCCGCCGAAGGTCCGAAAGTTGTCTGCAGGACTGCAAGCAGGAGGACTCCTTTGTTCCAGGCGAATCTTTCGAGATTGTAAGTCCCTTGAGCTGCTCCCACGGAGTGCAGAAGCATTCTCAAAAGCGAAATTACCATGCGCCAGCGAAGAAGAACATATTTCGCCAGCCCATCCTAAGGTCCTTGTACGGCTGCGAGCATGGCAAGTGCATTGTCCGCAGTGGTCGTATGTTTCTCTGCAAGCCGAAGGAGGAGTCCAGTGATATAGTTGGCCAGCCACAGGTCAACGAGGATTTGAAATCGGGTAGCTCATGTGCCTTTCGCGATGTTATTGGCGAATGCAATGTCATGCTGGGCGAATCGAAGAAAAGCCCGCTGGGAAACAGTTGGCACTTTTCCAGGAAGTGTAGTTCATCAAAGGCCCAGCTCTCGGAAAGTGTTCTTGAAGAGCCAGGATCTTCAGGACTTCACAGCCATAAGATCGATCAATTCGCCGTCTCAGCAGCCACGCGATCTCTGTCAGCCGTTTCGCTGGTGGGAGCAACGTGCTCGCAGCAGGCCAGCTACAATTCCACAAACCCTGGGAACTGCGACGATGTTACCATTGGGGAGTTGGCCAGCTACTTCGACACCATTGTTCATATACCTAAAAAAATGTCCACAATGGCCGAAATGATGTATATATAATTATCGTAACCATTATTAATTCATACCTTTTCTCTAAATATATTTTTAAGTTTTAAGTGTACGATATGTATGTTACTTGTGAATACAATTACACAATTTCAGCCCTTTTTAAAATTCAGTTGGCTAATCTAAATATTTATACTGTATAATATGTACATAGTCATTGGTTTATTCTGCGAATTACAGCATTTCTAAATACACTCAAATACTATTTTTATTAAAACTCCCAATGGCATTCGGACTTTGTATTTTTGTTAGCCTTGTGAGCACTGTTCAAAGCTTTTCTCTTTAATTGATTTTTAAATAGTTTTAATAAAACTTTGCACAAGTGGTGAATAATTATTTCAACTTTTATTGTATGGAGTAGTAAAAGTAAAACTAGTTTCTGTCGGATAAAGACTACCCGCGATTTCTAGATTGCTTAATCAAGCTTAGTGCTAAAATAGTTATGGGGAGAAATCAACGGAAAATAACTGTATACTGAATTTTATATTTTACCTTCCATTCCCAATATTTATTATTTTTTGAGCCCTTTTGCCTGAAAAATATAAACCAACGCAACGTAAACGAATTGTAATACTAATTATTCTTTATTCATTTGAAGTTCGGATTATACATACATAAATAGACATTTAATGCGTTATTCATATAATTGTTATCTATTTGTGCACTCAAACTTGTCAAATTTTTTTGTCATGAATTGATTCGATTAATATGTAAAATATTAAAGGACGTTAAATTCAGTATTATTGATGTAACTTAGGTATTTCTGTTTATTTTCGGAGTGCACCGATGTTAATTCAGTCATAAGATTAGAGTGGTTGTTCTTGTTTGAGAATCTAATGGGTGAAGTGAACACTTGCTTAAGCTTTGATATATTTCCAATACTTTTTTTAATTCGATCACTATAGTTTGAAAGGTGATTAAACGAACGACTAAACTCTACTTCCTGCCATTGTTGAGCGCTCGTTTTCCGCGGCGCTGCGGGATATAAAATGTGCTGCAAATAACAAAAAATATATGTTAGCTGCGATTGAAGTGTTACCAATGATAATAGATTTTTAGAAGGCTTGTGATGTCGCAATTATACATTTAATAATCTGTCGAGTTACTTTTATACACCCACCGAAACGAGAGCTTTCTCTGTAAAGGTAACGCTCTTCCTTATAATGTCATCCGAGTGATGATGATAATAATATTGGGAGTTCTGCGTCTGTGAGTATCGAGTATTACTGCTTACAACATCAACGCCATGATGGTCCGTATTGGTGAAATTTTCGTATCCGTATCCGTTGTTATTACTAAACATATCTACAAAGCTAATGGAGTGGAATTCACTGGGGTGAATATAAAACGTCACAATCATTGCAGTGTATATGATAACGTGAAACAGAACGCAAGTCCAAATTAGATTTATCTGCAATTAAATCGGGTTAGTTGTTTCTGCCTTCAAAAGTGGACAATTCAATTGTCTTACCTTCTTTTTACGACCGTATTTTGAGAATGTGGTAAATGGCACTAGAGACATGGTTAAAAGGCATCCACAAATCACTCCAGCTAGCAATCCCAGGAAGTTAAGTTGATAAGGCAGTGTTCCGATTCCGACCAACACACTACACAGGAGCAATAATTTGAATAGTGCAATGTGCGGTTTGTGCAGATACTTCCAATGCATCCAAACCAGCAGGGCAATCAGCGAGGCCACCACGCCACTAAGCGATGCTGAGGGTCCGACCTGCCAATGCAAAAGGTGAATTAATCATATATGTTTTCTTAGTGCCGGGTTCTCTTCTGTACTTTAATTTGACATATTTATTTTCGGGTGTTAAACAAGAAATGGATTTCTCATCTTTAAAATCTATTGATAACTTTCAGCTCCACACTTTTGCGGCTAGTAAAATTTTGCAGAGTTATCAAAAATATGTTCGTATTGATCGCAGATCAAGTTATAAATCTCGCGGGTCAGATATCCTAAAGATGACAAAGGAACTGTATGTCGTTGAAAAGATAAACTATTTTATCGTTTACTAGATTAAACAATATTTTTGTTGAGTCATATACCCCTTCTTAAACACCTTGAATTATTTTTGGGGACGGAAATAAGGCTTAGTCAACATGCCTTCACCTCTTCCGTTTATAGTATACATTAAAATATACTTGTTCATTATATGGCGGATATAAAAACTTGGTAGATATATTAACAGCTTTATAATTGTACCTCTGGACGATGGGGCACTAGTATAGCGCTCGTTAGATTTCCAGCAAAGCCCGACATAATGTAGACAATCGCAGTACGAACGGTTCCAATCAATCTCTCCAAGTCGGCCAAAAACAAGTGCTGGAATATAAGAGTAATGGCCAGATGCAAAATACCGGCGTGCATGCAGAGCGATGTGAGCAGTCTGTATAGCTGATCCGGAGTCTCCACGGAAATGAATGGAAACATTCCGCACACATTGTTTAGGCACGAGATCTAATAAAATTAAAAAATATTTAAGACAAAGATAGTTTATTATACTATTGAATGTATACCTGTGAACACAATGATGCTTCCTCATGAAAATATCCCTTTATAAAATCACAGTACTCGCGGGTCGTTATCCGGCACTCTCCATATAAGCCCGTGCAGCACGGATGTCCAATTACCTCGCATACCATGTGCTCCGAAGTGTGATCCTTGTACCGATATCGTTGTGTAAACGAATTGGTTTTGCGGCAGATTGGCCACTTTGTGATGTCATCGGGCCACTCGTAAGGAGCTATCGATGCTGGGGCATCGCAAAACTTGGGATCCAGTCCGCAGACAGACCCGGAGATTCTCCCTCCCGGTCCAGACTCACTGGGAGACCATTTTTTCCACGTAGATATTGATTTCTGATTAATGAAAATGGAAACGGATTTACTTTTAAAACAGATTTTGGCATGGTTAATTCTTAACCTCCTATTGATTTTTTACAAGGCTTAACAGAAGGTCTTCAATAATTTGATGGAGATGAAGTTCAGCGGATGCTTTAAATTTTCAACACATTTCTTCCAGAATTCAAAAGATACGATTGATCTTGAACAGATACTTATGTGTAAATCAATAGGTCTGTTTTGCAAACGAATAGTTATGGCCACAAGATAAGCCTCTGAAGGACTGTATCTGTTAAGGAAAGCGAGAATCCTTCATAACCGTCACTGTGCCTCAGATTAAGGAAATCTAATCGTAGTCAAGGACAATATTGCTGTATCTAGTTGTCAAAATAGGTATTTCGCCCTGCTCATTATCTTATAATAATCACTCACCGTGGGGTAGAGTCCTCTGATGGAGCACTCTGCCTGGGAGCTCTGAACGCAACCGGAGTCGTCATTGCGAATGCAGCAGGCCGTTTCCCGCTCGTGTCGCCTCGTCTTCGTGACCACCTCGGTGATCTTAATGTCCCGTCGCATGCAGGCGGCGAATTTCGCACCCATGTGCACCAGATCGATGTTCCTGGGACCGATCCAGAGGTTTCTCTGCTCGACATGCTGGACCGTCTGCAGACTGAGGCTGGTCACCAGTACCTGTCCCGTCTTCTGCTCCGATCCTATGCCAATGGGAGCGATGCCGTAGCAGATGATCGACAGAATGAGAACCACCACCTGCACCGTGTTGATCCAGTAGGTGAAGAAGGGTCGATGGTCGGTACGGTCGTCCAGGTCGTTCACCGAGAAGTACTTGATGCAGCGCAGCGGCGGACGTCTAGAGTTCTCGAGGACCCCGTCAAGCAGCTGGGCTGTTATCCGATTGCCCCGATTGCAGTTGGAGGTGGTCGAGTGGGAGCTGCGCATGGCGGGTTGCATTTGGCTGGAAACCGAGCTGCAGAGCGGTATGTGGGCTGCCGGAGCCGGGTGCGAAGACTGATCGCCTGTCAGGTTGATATCACTGCTGGCGTTACCGCCACTGTTCAGGGCGGAGGTTCGCCAGCCGTTCTGCTGCCGCTCCGCCATATAGACACTAACTCCCACACCAGAAGGATCTGCACAGGGACGAGGCTTGGCCGTCTGTCTGCCAATCTCGGAGCTTTCATCGTTCACAGACGTGGTCGTTATCTCGCAGGGACTGTCGAAGAACACCTCGTCATCTATGATGGCCTCCAGGCCATCTGTTAAGCAGTCCGCATCCGCCTGCTGATTATTGTGCGAAGTGACATGCAGAGGGGCAAAGCTGCGCGACCATTGCCAAGGACATCGCACCCTGTGCATCTGGATGGGCCGTCGCTTGTTGAACATGTGCACCAGATAACTGACCATGGCCACAAACATATAACCCACTGAAGCCTTGCGTTCCACGAACTCCCCGGCCAGAAAATCCCGGTTGGTATAGCACTTCTGCCGTCTGTTATCGCCAGATAGGTTCATGTCCATGCCAATGGCATCCTGAACTGGCAGGATGTCCGGACGATCCGGGGCATAGTTGCTGTTGGATCCGTTCCCCTGGACCACATCCTCGTTGCCTCCACCGATGGCCTGCTGCATGTGGTACTCCAGTTCAGTGTCGAACATTCCGAAGCAGCGAATTGCCAGGCGACGATGACGTCCTTGCCACAGGGCGCAATCCGCTACCTCGGTACTCGGCTCCACGCCAAAGAATTGCGAGGTGGTGCGCCTCATGTAGATGCCAATCCGCTTCTTGCAGGACAGGTGGTGCATCTGCGGTTGTGGGAGCACCTGCAGTGACTGATGCTGCTGCGTCTGGTGGTGGATGTGCTGCAGTCGAGGATTGCTGGCTATCTGGCTGCGGTACATCTGGTGTTGGTTCGATCCTGGAGGCACTGCCATGTTGCCACTGCCCTCGAGACGTTTCGCCTGCACGGACACCATGCTGGACTCCAGATTCTGGCTGGGGATCTGCTCGCTTAGACCCGAGATCACTGGCATGGACATGGGCACGGGCAGGGATATGGGAACCGGGCTAATGGGACCCGTGGTCTGGGTGGTCTGATGAACTCCCGTGGTGCGTCTTACTGTATTGCAGTGCAGGCAAGTCCCCGAGGGATTGTCCACTTCTAACTGTGCTATGGAACCTCCTCCAGGAGCCACTACAATCACGGAGTCGCTGTCATCGCCCCTGTGTGTTCCCGATCTCGAGGAGCTGGTGGCCGTCATGATTGGAGAGCAGGAGCTGGCCGCCGAGAAGACCATCGACATGCTGGTGGAAGGCGCCGGCGAAGGGGATGTACAGGCCGGTGAGCAGCTCGCGTACGTC